TGTTTTGTGACTATCTCTCTTCCCCCCTGGATATGCATTTTGAACCAAACTTTTCTCATGTCCCTATATGCTTGAAAAACAAAACAATAACCTGTTGCCCTATAGCCCTTCCCTTACAAACCGTTCGCCTTCTCTTCCAAGACGGACACAACATTCGGTACTTCGCCGTTGGTTCCGTTCGTTGACTCGAGGTCCAGCTCCTGGCTCATGGATCTCGAGGGAATGGGCTTGCCAATGATGGGGCTACCGGGGCGGCTGCCGACGAACTGTGAATTCGATTATTAGTACTCGACTACACCATGTAAAGATGTACAGTGGATTCGACTTACGTTGCTAGCGGCACTCAACAAGGCCGTCAAAGAACTCTGGACCACATCCTCGTGGATACCGATACCCCAGTACTTCTGCTTGGTGCCCGTGGCCGTGCACTCAATGTACGTGGCGGCCTTGACATCACGACCGGCACCAATGGCGTGCTCCTTGTAGTCCTCGACGTCCAGGGTGACGCCCACGCTCTTGAGGGCGTTGGCCAAGCTGGAAATGGGACCGTTTCCGCGGCCGCGCAGCTTGTACTCCTTGCCGTCGATGGAGACGACGCCCTCAAACACACGCTTGAGGTTCTTTGTGTCCTGGGTCTTGCCGGGCTGGGGCGGCGCAGGGGACTGCGAGCGGTCGGGCGCGATGCTGTAGTCGACAATGGTGAAGCGCGGGTTGTCACGGAGGTAGTACGTCGACTCGAATAGGTCCGTGATCTCGTCCGAGAGGAGCTCGCGACCGAGCTGGTCGGCCTTGTCCTGGACGACCTTTGAGAAGGCGACTTGCAGGCCACGGGGGAGGTCGAGCTGGAGCTTGCGCAGGATGATCCAGGCGGCGCCGCCCTTGCCGGACTGGGAGTTGACGCGGATGATGGCCTCGTAGGTGCGGCCAATGTCGGTGGGGTCGAGGGGCAGGTAGGGGATCTGCCAGTGCTCGTCGTTGGACTTGACGGTCGACTCGCGGACCTGGAAGCCCTTCTTGATGGCGTCCTGGTGGGAGCCGGAAAAGGCGCAGACGACGAGGGAGCCGCCGTAGGGGGCGCGGGGGTGGACGGGGATCTTGTTGCAGACCTCGACCATGTCGATGACGCGGTTCAGGTCCGAGAAGTCGACGTTGGGGTGGACGCCCTGCGTGTACAGGTTCAGGCCGAGAGTGACGAGGTCCACGTTTCCGGTGCGCTCGCCGTTACCAAAGAGGCAGCCCTCGACACGGTCGGCGCCAGCCATCTGGGCCAGCTCTGCGGCGGCAACAGCGCATCCGCGGTCGTTGTGGGGGTGAAGGGAGACGGCGATCTTCTCGCGCTCGGTGACGTTTCTGCAGAAGAACTCAATCTGATCGGCGTAGACGTTGGGGGTGGACATCTCGACGGTGGCGGGGAGGTTAAAGATGATGGGGACCTCAACGGTGGGCTCCCAGGCGGCCTTGACGGCCTCGCAGATGCGGACGACGAACTCGGGGGAGGTGTCGGAGAAGGTCTCTGGGCTGAACTCGAACTGCCAGTTTGTGCCGGACTGCGAAGGGTCGTCCTTGGTCAGGGAGCGCACCAGCTTGGCGCACTTGACGGCGAGCTCAACGCTCTCGTCCTCGCTGAAACCAAACACTACCCTGCGGAAGCACTCGCTCGTCGCGAGATAGATGTGGACGATGGCGTTCTTGGCACCCTTGAGGGACTCTACTGTCCTCCTGATGAGGTCCTCACGGCAGGGGGAGAGGACTTGGAGGTATACATCGTCGGGGATGGCGCCGGGGGTCTCGATGAGGCGACGGGTGAAGTCGAAGTCGGTTTGCGAGGCAGAGGGGAAGGATACTTCGATTTCCTTGTAGCCCAAGTCGCACAGCATCTTGAAGTAACGCCATTTCTCGTCACCGTTCTGTGTAAGGGGTCCATATTAGTGCCACCGCTTCGAGACATTTGGAGGGGGCCGCGGAGCAGACATACCATTGGGTCAACCAAGCTCTGGTTGCCATCGCGCAAGTCGGTCGACAGCCAGCGCGGGGCTTTCGTGATGGTCTTGGAGGGCCATTGACGGTCCGGGAGGTTCAGAGCCGGGAAGGGCTTGTACTTCTTCCACGGTTCCTTGAGCCTGGCATCAGAGCAAGGTTAGTCTGAAATCTCCAAGGCGATTTTGTGTCGAGTTCATCGTCTGATTTTTGGGCGGCAATTGAGTCACCTACATGGGCATCTTGGGCGAGTGCGGGGCAGATTTTCAGGTCGTGATCGGAGGGGCGGATCTGGTCCTGGTGGGATGGCGTCACAGTCTGATTTGGGGAAAACAGGTGAGAGAGAGAGAGTATCTTGACCAGCGGGAAGAAGTAAAAGGGCCAGAAGCTAAAGAGGGTATTTGTAGAAGAACAGTCGATGTGATTGTAATTCAGAGTCAGGGGTGGAAGGGAAGGATAGGAAAGGAAAAAGTGAATTGAGTCACAAAGTTCGTAGTCGCAAAGATCCGGGGACTACGAGCACGGAGGACGTGGAGAGCCATGGCCGGCACCCCCCCCCCCCCTCTCCTCCACCATAAACGGCATTAAGGGAAGGGAACAGCCCAAAGGTGTATGCATGTACCTCACACGCTGCCTATGATCAAATCTCTCGCTATTACTTTTATGTTGTTTTGGCTTTTTGCTTTGCTGGATTGGATGGAATCTTGTCATTAAAGCGGCCATTTGCATGTCTAGACTTTCCCATCACTCCACTTACTGCCGTTGCCTGTCACTGTATGGCACAACTAAACGCACCTAGAAGGCTTCAATCCCGTCCCGCATGCCGGCCGGGGAAAACAGTACAAGGCACCATCAAGGCAAGTTTTCAACTCATTGGATGGATGTACATGCAGTCTGCTCTTTCCCGCAGCGCAGGGCCGCAAATCGGTGCCCAGCTCCCTCGCATTGGACGAAGGCAGTTGCACCAGCCGCAATTGCCAAATCGATTTTTTTTTTTTTCACTTCTCTTAACCCAAAGTAAAAAAATCTTTTTTACTTTTTTTACCCTCCTTCGCCCTTTCTCCAAATTCAATGTCAAGGCGGGGCAACGCCCGTGCCCACAGACCCCACATTACGCCCTCTGGGACGCCCTCTAAACGACATTCAACGGTTCTTATTGGCTGGTGCCACCGGTTGCGGATGGCGGGGTTGAAAGTTGCGCAACAGCAGGTGGGCAGCAACCGTCCACGGCGGGCAGGCACGCTGGACACCCAGCAATGCTGTCATCGCGGCCAATTGTAGAGCAAAACGGCAATTACTCGGCCGTCACACCAACAGTTGTCTGCATCTACCCAAGTAGGTACCTTATGTAAGGTGTTCGGAAATCTATCAATTCCGCTCTGGCCTTCGTCTGATTTCTTCATCGTGATAGAGGCTGCATGACCTGACTCGTTCTCTCCATCTTGGGTAGGTACTCGAAGAAGACGGTCACGCCTTGTAAAGCTCGGCCGCACAATGCCCTTCCAGAACAATTGGAACCCCCTACAGCTACAAGCTCGCTGTTCAATCTGAAAGCCAGATATGATAATAAACAGTCGTTGAACGTATGCCGAACCTAACCGGCCGTGTAATCCAAGCCCATCTCCGAACATCGCTCGCAAAATTACTCAAGTTTTCCGCAAAAACCCCACGGTCAACTTATCGTGTGCCAGGTGGTGGCCCGGAAAGAAGTCGGTGATGGGGCGGACGGGTCCACTACGCTCTTAGTCCCGGCCGATGACCGGCTCGGTTTGCATCGCACGTCCAAACTCCCCTCACCGCGACTCTCTCCACGATCGATGAGGCTGATCGATGCAGCCAAACTTTCCAATGGGAGAGGTTGGATTTGACTTGATGCGGCTGACTCGGAGCTTCAGACTTCTGGAGTCTCTCCAAAAAGCCGATGGTTTCCAGAGGTCGTTGGTTGAAGAGGTGATTTGCGATCTGGGATATACAACACGCCCCTTCCCCACAGACGGTACTTGATACGGTACCTAGTCATCATCTTCCGCCTTAAGAGATGAGAGTAATCCTGAAGCCCTCCTCAAATATGCGACCTCGACTCCCAATGTAATTCCCTACTCCAACTACAAGAATTTGGCAACGCAGCACACATCATCTTCCAGGTTTCGATGGTGATGAAAGCAGCCACTCTTGTGTCACTCCAGCCGTTTGGCAAACTTGGCCACGCCAGCTCCGTCATGGGCTGAGTCACAGCTGAACCAGATGTCTCAAACTCCGCACATCCACTTGCGACTTCCTCATTCGAGAAAGTCGTAGGTGGCCAGCAACGTCGTCTAGCAAGTGTCACCCCAGGCACCATGAGAATCAGAATGCGGAGTAGGTAGCTGAGAAGCCGCTTTCCGATGTCTTCTTTCAGTGCACGTACTCCGTATACTGTTGTTAACTGAGAAGGCGTACAGCAACGGGGACTAGGGTACGTTGAGAATTGATAACAGCTTCGTCACGTTATCTAGGGTGTACATGAGGTCACGCAATGGTCATTGGGAAGCGAGAAGTTTGTTTGAAATCCGATTGACGTCTTCGTCTAAGTAGGTCTATCTTCATGACAGGCGGATGCTATTTACAACGACAGGGCCACATCGATCTGCTGCTTTGTCTCGCAGTGGGAGATGTGCTCTGCGTGTGGGGGGATATATACGTCCAACAATTAGACAAAATGTCTTCCCAGAAAACCTGGGGAGACCAGAAAAAACTGCCCGAGGCAACCAGCGACAGAAAGTGCGTCCAGAGTCCACCTTTCCATCTCATGTGTTCAGCCCCAAAGAGTTGGTGTGTGAAATATGTACACAGTTAGAAGAGAGCGAGCCATTAGAGACAAGGCATCGGCCGTGAGAAGCATGTCCATGTCGATCTGATCCTGATGATCCGCAAAAAAAGAGATGGTAAAAAACACTGCGCTTTTCCCCGCTTGGTACCGTTGACGCCCAAAGATTTGAAAATCATGTCCACTTCGGATCTTTCGTGGGGTATCTTTCTTCTTTCTACCACGTGAAACTCTCCTCCACAAAGTCAACCACTGTGCCCTCGTCTTGCACCTCTCTCACCGCAGATCTCACGTCATCAGCGAGAGCACCGGGGCCGCAGATGTGGACGCACATGGCGCCCTGCTGCTCCGACACCTCACGCTTCATAATCAGAGGAATGTTGGGGCGGCCAGGGAACATCTGGACTGTGTTGGATGCCGAAACAATCTGTTGAGAGTTCTGAGGGCGAGTGATGTATAGCTGGATACGGAGGATGTCCTTTCGGTTGGGGAGGCGAAGGATAGTATCCATCCAGGGACGAACCCACTCGAGAGCTTCGTAGTCACGGACGATCCAGACGAGGGTGATGCGTCTCGTGGCAACGCTGCCGTTGTTGTAGCCATCGATGAGGGGCTTGAGGTAGGAAATACCGTGAGTGATGCCAGTAGCGCCGGCGAAGAGGACCGCGTGACCATACGAGTCGAGCGAGTGATGGCCACTGTAGGGACCTTCAACGCAAGCCTTCATGCGAATAGCGCGGTCACCGCTCTGGCGGGCAACGTTGTAAAGATCACGAGTGAAGCCACTCTGAGCACCGATAATGAAAGAGATGGAGGTCGTTGTGTTCTTCTTGTCAATGGCAGTGAGCGTAGCCTTCTCCTCGTCCACTCCAAGAGGCAGCGAGCGGTGGTCAGGAATATGCTCAACCCAGCCGATGGAGAAGGGGTGGCAATCCCAGGGGCGGATGTCCTTGAATCTCAGGTAGGCGTGAGTGCCAGGCTTGACGTCGACGTAGCGAGGAAGGTTCATGGTGACACGAGTGCACTCGCCAGGAACGGCCTCGACAATGGCATCGGTGGTACCGCGGTCAGACCAGTTCATGTAAGCGACACGAACAATGCGGGCCATACGCTCAAGGAACCAGAGAATGAAGATAGCAATCATCCAGGGGAGTTGAGGAAGGCCACCCGCAAGACCAGCGACGGCGCAGTGGATGTAGGTCATCAGGAAGATGAAGAATGCGAGGATGATGTGGACGTTGAGGAAAGTCTCGTAGAAGGCGTGGCGAACGGGCGAGAACGACAAGATCATGATGACAATGAGAGCGAGCGTACCAGCCATGCCCGAGCCAATGAAGAGCTCGTTGGACATCCTATGCCAAACGCCATCCCATCCGCTGTCGGCGATCTGGACAATCAACCAGGCAATAGTGTGAAGGACAGCCTCGATGACAGACATGCGGCCAACCCATCGGTGAAGAAGGTTGTAGGTGTCGAAGCTAACGTGAAGCATGCCGATCAACGGGTTGTTGCGGCCGGCAAGAATGATGAGCGGCACCATGTTCACGACGGAGAGTGTGCCGGAGCGACCACGGAGTTCGGCGCAGAAAGAGTACAGGTTGGCATTCTCCCAGTTCAGGAAGAACATGTAGATCATGTTGCTGGCGATATAGAATCCGAGGATGACGCTGTGCATGCGAGAAGGCAAGGTGCCGATGCCGATAGCGCTCGAGAGCTTGATCTCCTTGTTGTGGCGCTTGTTCCAGAGAGGGGCGTACATGAGATGTTTCTTCAAGCTGGGCATCCAGTTCCACTGAGCCGTCTTCCAGTAGTTTTGCCTCTCACCCTCAACCGACATGGCCGAGACATGACGAAGCTGGGCCCAGAGGATACGGCTGATGGTGATAACCAGGACGACAATTGCCATTCCACCAAAGCTAGCCCAGAGCATGTCCTTGAACAGCATGTTGACGGGCTGGTTTACACCAGCAAGGTTGGAGTGGTAAGGAGAGATGGTGGAGGTGGCCTCAGCCGCCCCCGTTGTGGCAGCGGCATGAGCACGTTGTTGAAGGATCTGGGTGGGGATAAAATCCGCCACCAGGCCGGCGATCCTGCGCCGGTGAGAGTCCATCTGGTCGGATGTGTTGTTTGTGTTTGCTGTAAATCTTAAAAGTCGAGTACGAAAGGTGAAGGAGTGTTCGTTTCTCCCGAGGACGTGAGCTAGATAGCCTCGTTTGGTTGGGCTAGGCTGAATTGCTAGAACGGTCCGGCAGGCGCGAGAGCGAGAAGTCAGACTGTTATCGAGAAGGGCCGTTCGGCTACAATGTCATTGTGCTTCGGGACGAGAGCGGAATGACAAAGAAAGAACGGGGATAGCAGGCCTGTTCCGAATAAGTGAAGCGGAAGCCTTTGTAAGTATCAGCACAGTGTCGACGGTGACGTGTGATGAGTCGAGGTACTGCAGGAGACCGAGTCACTGAGGAATGCGTCCAACCTCGAGGTGAGTGATGTGCGAAAGCTGAATGACGGAACGTCAAGTCAACCAGGGGAATTAAAATCCGGATAGTCGTTGCGTCGATACCCTTGTGCTGATCGTTTGCCTGGAAGCGAGGGCGGTCGGTGTATTGGCGATCCAAATGAGGTCAAGGTCGATCTGAATCTGGCCGAGCAGCAGCCGGTTGAACAAATTGAGAAAAGGCAGGTGGCTGAAGTTGACGTATGAGAAGACGGGGGGACGAAGCAACGTCAATATATTGTGCGTCTCTCAGGTGGTCCTTCGCAGTATCTCGTGCCGCGTCCTTTTCGGAATCGAGGAGCCGGAATCCCTTTTGTCGAGTGTGGAGAAGTTGAGCAGGTGAATGATGGGGATTTTCAAAAAAAAAAGCTGAAATGCCCGGATTTGCTGGATTGCTGGATGACGAAAATGAAGTAAAACAAGACAACGGAGACGTTGAAAATGTCTTGAATGTGATGCGTAGCGCGAGCTTTTTTTGGTTGTCTTGGAATGAGAGAAAAAACGAGTGTACACCGCCGCTGACGGAGTTGGATTGAATGGGAAAGAATGGGCGTGGGTTTGTTCGATATTCGAAGGCAGGACCGAGCGCTGATTTGCCGAAAGGGAGGGGAAGGGGGTGTGTGATCAACAAGCGAGGATTCTCACGTGGTTTTAGTGAATGTGGAAAATGTTTTCAAGGAAGGTGCAAACGGTGCAAAAGAGCAAGAAAAAGAGCGTGAGGGAAGGAAGGTGCTGTGAGGGTGGTGATGTGGTTGTAAGTTCCAGAGTGAGGTTGGAAGGGTCGGGTTCAACGGTTGTTGTTTCCGTTTTTGCCTGGCGTTTGGTGGGTGGTGTTCGTCCAATGACCTCAGATGTTCAGCTCCCCCTGCTGTATGTTTCGCGCTCTCTGCTCTTTCTTTCGTTGCTCAGTCCTTTGTTCCTCGAAACAAGTCCAAATCGGTATCCACCAAAGAAGAAGAATACGTGTAACGTCGTCGAGTGTTGTCCAGCCTCTCTTTTGCAAAGAAGAAAAAATAGTCGAATTCCAGAATTCCAGTCGAAAGCGAACCGTCTCACCGAAAGGAGACCGAAGAGAGTCAGCGTGACAACGGGCGAGGAGAAACAGAGAGTGGTTGGGATCACCGGGCGTGGAGAGGGCGATTAAGGTACTTTAAAGAGACTGGCTGGGACGGGCCATGAAGGACCTCCTGCGAGCCACGACGGGGCCGGGGGGCCCACGGTAGCGCCGCCGAGAGGCTCCTCTCCTCCTACTAGGTAGGCGTTGGCTCCTCTTGGGGCGGCCTGGACTGGATTTTCTGGGCTCTAGCTGGGAAGGGCAACATGGTCCATTCCCAATTCCCCCTGGATCTGAGGTGGCGTGCAAGGGCAAAACGGGAATGACTGGATCGACTGGACCTCACAGCCCACGCTTGACTGGTTTCTGCCAGCTTCTTGTTCATCTATTCGCAGGTACACGCAGGCTCCAGCACTCCGAGCTGGCTTCGGCAAGTATCCGTTACCAAACCAGGATACAGATACAGACAGATACGGGGACTCCTCTGCGCCAATAACCTGCCGAGCATTCTCACGAACGAGACGAGGAACCAAGGTCGGGCATGGCATGGTATGGCACAGCTTGGTACCTGCGTGGCCCTCACATATACGGTGCGCTAGCCATGTACCCCTTTTCCACTCCGCGGCTACGTGCGACTGCCTTGTCAGCTTGATACCGATTCCAGTCCTACCACCTCAACCGTATAGAGTACTACAGACACGCAATTCTCAACTCAATGGTCAAAAAGAGGAGCAAATCCAAGGGTACCAAGACCACATCTGCCCACCGAGCCGTCAGTCTAACCCTATTCCGATCCTATGGTTGCTAGAATGGAATCACTGCGCCTTGCACATCGACCCACGTACCGGTGTTGCTCATGCCAGTGCCAACTGATGACCCCGGCGGAGATGGCGAATGGAGCACGGAAAGCAAGTCAATGATGCAGGAACAGGAACAACCCAGGAAAGCAAAGGGACTTCGCACTTTGTGCAAGACTGAGGTGAGAGTGGGATAAAAGGAGGGGGTCATGGCCAGCGGTCAAGAAGAGGCAAGTCGCTCACGGTGAACGCAGGGATGTCACTGACGGGGGGATACGTACACAAGCACTTTATTCTGTACACACAGGGACAGGCTCTGTGGGAGTCGATCCCTGGTCGCCAATCATTGAGATCCAGTGTTGCCGTTCGCTGAGGCTGAAGGGATGGCCCCTGGCTGCTCGGCCGTGTTGATTACCATGATTTTCATTCGCTTCCCTCGTCTCTCGACAATCCGATACCTTAATTGTTCTTCCGGGGGGCCATTCATCGTCAAGTCTTTATCTTGGGACGGGTGGAATGCTGAGGGATAAGATGCTCTCTCCTTCATCGTCAAATCTCATGCCGCAAATGGTCTCACCCTACGCCTCGGTCATCCCAAAATCAGGGACTTGGGGTCCTCAGGGTCTACGGGTCAGTGGGAACAAGGTGTGCTCGCTGCACAACTGCAGACTCTGTTGAAAGTTCATGGCTCAGTAACTCAGGACACCGCTGCAACTGGCCATTGCAGGTCCCTTGGCTTCTCCTGGGAGATTCCGCCGAGCCATCGTTCCTGGGCAAACACGCAGTCTGAATGGTCGAGTGTTTCCAGGCTTTTCGCCATCTTCCTGACCCCTGAGTGATTTGACTGGTCAAAATCACTTCTTGGGCTTGCCAGTGTGGCAGCGTTGCTGACTGGACTGCGTCTCTCAGAGGGCTTGACAGCCAGCCAAGGGGCCCTCATCCAGGGGCGAACAGACACAGCCTAGGAAACGACAGGGGAAGAGACCGGACGAACAAGGATGCGGGCTCGGGTGAACACTCGCCCTCGACCTATCGGCTAGTGCCAGCTGGACCAGTTCGCGCAAGATGCCAAGCACAACAACCAATCCTTCTCATTAACAGCTGCTGATTTGCTGCTTATCTCTCATGGGTCCGACTGAACCTGAACTCAACATGTCTCCTCAGCTTCGCAGATGGCACAAAGCTGTAGCAATTCTCGACTTGCACAGAAGATCCACTAAAGTGACCGAACACGACGGGGTTTTGGGGTCTCTTCTGGGCCTCTCATCCACCGTCCAACAAGGCCTCCTCTGCCCAGCCGCCAAGGAACACGTTGAGATGAACGAAAAGAAATTCCAATCATTGGCTGGGCCACCGACTTTTCAACCCAAAAGATCCCGTGGTTCCCTTCGTGGTCTCGTCTTGGTGACCCCATGAGCCGACCGTTGGAAACGACTCGTCTAGCCGGCCAGTGTCTCCAAGGCCAGAGACAATATTGATCATGTACTCATCCGTTAGGATTCCCGTTGGTGCCCATCAGTTATCCGCATCTTCGGGTCCTGTTTGGCGCCAGGCTTGATCTGGTTCACTGAGTTGAGATCCAAGCCGAGACCAAAGGCGTTCGGTCCAGCGCCACGAGGTCACCAACACAGGCTACTCTCGATTCTGCGTACTAGTGTATCAGAAGGCATCCGGATTCCGATGTGGTGTGGAACGGTGACACAGACATTGTCCAGAAACGGGGTCATAAGATGCGCAGCTATCGTCGTATCCATTTAGGACCCAACCATTTTCCTCCCTTCCGGAATTCTGGAAGAGACGGCAACTGACGCTCGGGTGATGACGAACTGATGGGTGTCCAAAGGAGGAGGGAATTCCCAAAAGAAGTTCGAAAGCCAGATCCACCATCCACTCATTGCTCAAGCTGTCTGAGCATGTGAATCAGCCCTCGTCAAAGTCATTAATCCACGTCTCAGGCATAATGCTATGCCGTCCCTCTCGGCCGATTCTGCCGTGGCATTCACCTGACGTTCCGTGATACCGCTCCGGAGGTTGCCGTGCTCTCAGCTCATCAACCAAACTATCAAGTAATCTTCTTCCTTTTGCCACGACTGACATCAACGATATCCCTATCTCGTCTCCCCTGCTAGTTGCAGCTTGCAACTTGCAGCCGAGGGATCGTAATCGAACATTAGTCGGATCTCCAGCACTACTAAGTCTAGAGCCATCCAGTCGGCTGTTGGACAGATATTATCTACCCCTCAATAAATTTTAGACTCATACGCTTGTCATTGAGGATTCCTGTCACGGCTGCAGCTCGCGGAGCCTGTGTGGTCTGTCAGGAGTCAAAGCTCGGTCTGATCTTGATAGCAATCAACGCTTTCGGCATAGGGCACCCCGGCCTTCGCATGGCCCCCGAACAGTTACCAAGCAAAAAAGCCAAGATACATAGTAGAGTGTATTCACAATGGACTCCATCGGCGACGGAGCGACGAGCCGACTGGGTAAACCATCCCACGTTCTCGTCTCCTTCAAACCACCAGCGAATTTTCTTCAATCGCGCCTTGGGACCTCGCAATTCTCGTCCAGCCGCATACAAATTGCGGGATGTGACGGCGTAGCCGTGCCCGCCGGGGTTCCAGCTCAGTTCAGCGGGGAGTCCCTGTTAAGCGTCGTTGCAAACAAATTAACACATCCGAACATCCTGGCACTTGGCCTCGGAGCCAGATTCCGTATAGAGGCGTCTTCCCTCCTTCCAGGGCCAGGCTCCCAGGTTCAACGTCCACCATGGGTACTTGGCATCCTCGCAACCGCCTGGCCGGGTCGACCAGATGGGCCTCAGTGTCTAGAGGGGCCGAGGGGATTCTGCGAGGGAGGCAAGCCGCCCGCTACAAGGCGCCAGCAACCTGCCAACATGCCTGGGAGGTCTGGGAGGAGGCCTGGAAGACTGCAGACGTGCGGTGGGTGAAGAGGGGACGCCCCCATGAAGTCATTTGCTTGTTCGGTGACCTATCGTTTCAACGATATTGCAGGCCCCGTCCGCTTCAGGTGAGCGTTGGCATGCATTAGCACACAAACGCGTGCAGATGAAGCCGAGATATTCGGACGGTTCGTGAGATTTGTCCAAATTTCCTCATTTTCACTCGTCACTTTAGTCTCTATCTGTATTCGTACGCAGATGCTTCTCTTTCGCAACTAGCCCCTCATCACGATAGGTATCTTCTCCTTCCTTTTTCCCTTGCCGCCCTCTTGGCGCCGGGGCATGCACATTTCCACATCCATCCTGGGCTCAGTGACAACCCAACGCAGAGGGAGTTCGTGGGCGCTTCTGCTCCGCACGTCTCATGGATCTGACCGAGATAGCCGTCCTATCTCAATCTTGATGAACCAGATAGCGAACTTGGATATCCCCATCTGCCAACTCCGCCTATCTGTTGACTGCGATCCTTGAAACAAGATGGGATGATGAAATACCTGGCCCAAGGGCCGCGCGTGGTAGGAGCGCGGGGGTCACTGTGGATGCGGCCCAGAGGTTACGGAGATAGTGCTCGCCTCCAAAAGCTTCCAGAACAATGTTCAGAATCTGCGTATTGTGGGTAAGGCGGTTTGGAATATGAACAATGAGGAATCGGTACCAGCCCGCAACAGCTGCCCGAAATCTCAAGGCGTCTTTCTGGCTTGTGGCCCGAAATCCCGCTTGCCGTCTGTTCATGTCTTATGTAAGCACACCACGCCAGGGATCCAGCAAGATGGCATAATCCTTGGTGGTCCGTGTCTGGCTGATGACTAAGGTCGCGGAACATGATGTCTGTCACGTGCACCTTCGCCGGCCCATCGGAGCTTGCAGCTTGACGACCGACTGTCACGGTCCGGAAAATTCCATACCATCACGGCCAAACATTCAAATCACCTCTCCAGCCATTGAGGCCGCAATCATGGGTGCCAGCGAGTCAAAGCCGTCCTCCAGCACGCCTCCACACTTGTGGAAGGCGTAAGTTCTTTCCAATTGCCCCCCTTTCGCAGAATCCGTCGGCTGATCCAAGATTCGCGCAGCAGCTCGCCGAGCGGCATCTCCCACGACCTCGTCGAGTCCCTGCAGACCAGCCATGAGGTAAATACTGCCTCCTCTACATAAACCGGAACACCTCCGATAAAAAGCTCTACATCAAATTCCCAACCGGAGCCTCGTCCTCCGCCTCGACCTTTTCCATCTGTCCTTCATCCCTCCCCCCCTTGGCGCATCTATTCCCTCAAGAAGCCAAAGATCCAATAGCTAACCTCTCGCGCTAAAACAACACAGACTGATGCATCCCGCACGCAACTCACCGAGATCCAAATTCAGCGCCGCGTCGCCGAGGAGCTGAAACGCCTCCAGGCCAAAGAGTCAGAGGCCCTCCGCCTCGCCCACGACAAGATCGCTACCGAAGACAAGCCCGCGCCCGAGGGCCAGCGCAGCCACGAGAGCGTCAAGAAGGAGGTCGAGGCCCTGCGCGCCAAGCTCGCCGAGCGCAAGAAGGTGCGCGATTTGCCCGAGGCGGTTGAGACGGCGCGCGGCAACGTCGTGCGGTGTCTGCGGGATAATGACCGCCGGCCGCTCGATTGCTGGCAGGAGGTCGAGGCTTTCAAGGAGGAGGTGAAGCGGTTAGAGAAGGGGTGGGTTGAGAAGATTGTCTCGTGAGTTGGATGAGGGAAGATGGGGATTGTTGAGACCCTCTCTGGGTCTGCCTTTGTAAACAGTTGGAGACCGTTGGGAGAGGACGGTTTCCTTATTTGCGTTTTTTGTGAGCCACTAAGGGGGTTTGAGAGATACGCTGGATCAAGAAGAGAAGAAATAGGGCAGTAGAACGTGAAAGTGTAACAACATGCTACTGGCGGGCAAATCATACAAGAGAGAAAAAAGTGTATAGATGGCGAATGAATCTTGGTTCACATCACAAGCTCCCCCCTAAACGGAAGTCTTTATTTTTGTTTATTCTTCATATCTTGGTCAGCAGCTCTATCGGGCCTTGGTCCTCTGACGGAGCTTCCTGCTGTTGCGTCTTCAACCTAGCAGCCAATACCTCCTCCTTCCGCCGCAGGCCCTCAGCCCTCTTCCTCTCCCTCCTGGCGTCGGCGTCCTCCCACGCGGCGCCGCCCTCGCCTGTCTTTGGCGGGGGGCCGGCGACGGCCTCCTGCAAGGCGGTGCGGAACCGCGCGATGCGGGCGGCGTTTTCTACGAAGCGCTCGTTGGCGATGTGGAGCAGGTCGCGGAGGTAGTCTGGCGTGACGGTGCAGTGCCGACGTGCGCTGCTGCCTTCGGCGGCGTCTTCATCGACGTAACCGATTAGAGATTCAAGAGCGAGACCCATTGTTCTTACGCCTACCATTGGTGTCACGGGTGATGACGACAAGGCTTCGTCTTCGCCTTGCGATGCGGTGGGGAGGAGGTTCAGGGCGCCGCTTTCGCGGAAACCTGCTGCGAGGGCGCATTTGAGGAGGAGCTGGGCGTGAGGTAGAGATGCTGTGAGGACGTGGAGGATCTATGCAGGGGAGGTGTATGTCAGTCGTGTGAGTCTTGTTGCTGCGCAGGCTACGTGTGAAAGGAGGGATGTGTCTCTGGGGTGACATTGCCTCGGCAGGAGAGGCTAGTGAGGCAAGGTGAGAGTATATGTGTGTGTAAATAAAATCATGCATGAGAGAAAACGGGGGACGGTCTTGCATACCATGGGCTCGAACTTGAAGTGAACAAGCCGCTTCCGTCGCCCAGACTGAGAACGACCCGATACTCCGACAGCCCGTCCTGGTTCTTGCCCTGCTCCTCCTCCCGCGTCTTCATCCACGAGACCAAACAAGCGCAGCAGATCCTCGTCGTTGTCGTGCGATCCGGGAACGGGATCGTGCGATACGAACAGCCACGTGCCTCCGCCTCCCTTTCCTCCGGGTCCAGCTATCGTCTCGAGGGCCGCGGCGGCAGGGGTGTCATCGCCTTCGTTGCCTTGAGAAGATGATGGGGCTACTGCCGCTACTGCTGCTCGCTGGTCCGCTCCTCCCGCCTTACGCCCCTCGAGAAACACGCTGACGCGCCCCGCGCAGCTGCTCGTCGTGACGAAACCGTCGAGGGCGTTGAGCTCGTCAATGAGCTCGCGGATACCGACGTCCACGGACCCCTTGGGCGAGGCGTCGGTGTACTCTGCATCGGGCACGCTGAGCTGTTCCAGGATCTTGTGTTTACGGGTGGTGAAGGTTGCCGGTGGGACGGGCAGGTGTTGGTGTCCTTGGTTCTTCTGCTGCGGTGCCATGGCGCTCTTCCTCTTGTGACCCTGGGGCAAGTTGGGCTTGGTAAACTACCTATGCGACTTGGGCTTGGATATTTTGTAGTGGGGGTTCCTTCGACGGAGAGGGGTGTGCCTCTCACTCGACCCGGTGGAACAAATCCTTGCTGGCCTCGGGTGGTTCTCTTCTGCAGCTTGACTGATTCGGTCGCTGTGAGATGGAAGAATACGGGGAATTCGGGCGTGTGTTGGGCGTTGAGCTAGTTGTTTTCCTCGACGCTGGGCTGCGTGTAAGTGAAGTCTGCCCGCAGGTTAGACTCATGTGAGATAAAAAAGTGTGCAGTCGTGAGTGCTGTGAGGTACCTCAGCCGTGTGAGTTTGGGACTCTTTACACAGTGCGTCTTCGGGACGAGAGCCGGCGCACCCAAGCTTGTTGTATATTACCCTGCCCTCCGATGCTACCTTGAAGAAATAGTGAACCAGAGAAAGTTCTTATTAAATCAGGTTATCTGGTGCATGTGGTGTTGTGTTTTTAATATATAATCTAACTTGACCGCCGCCACGTCGGTGATCGTTATCCCTAGCTTTGCGTGTATATGCTCATTCATTCGCTCGACGACGCCGGTATCTTGGATGCCCAGAGTCTATGGTATACTGCTCATCGTATGACTGTCACTTCTTGTTTCCTGATTGCGTGCCTGGATCAATACAGGGAAGAGCTCGGGAGAGTCCGAGCATGCGGTTCACTCATTGGGGTCACATCCAGGTAAAATGACTTGGAAATCGCTCATGTCCGTGGTGTCAGCTGATCTCGATGATACTTGCAAGGGCTCTCTGTTACCCTGGTAGCATGTAGCGGGCAAATAATCACTATCCTACGCTCCGTTGTGACAAACGTCGCATATAATAGACAGAGAGGATGACAAGATGGTTAGAAATATCGTGGTGCTTCCCACCTACGAGCAATGCATATCGCCTGAATATCCGTCGATGCCTTGCTTGTGTCCTTGTATCTTATCCTTGGCTTGGTCACTGATGGCGGTTGTTTTGAATATTCATGACGCATAGTGATTGGATGGTAGTGAAATCCCATCAATATTCGTGATAACAAAAATGACCTGGCCATGAACGCAAGGGCGCTTCAAATTTTCTGAAGGTGTCACATTTTCAAACATCACAGTTGGAGAAACTCTTAGTCAAGCAAAGAAAGACAACGTAGCTTGCTTATATATTATGAGACATGCCTTTTGCCTGGGTGACCTTTACTACACATCATTCAAGTTATCCCATCCATTATTCATTTTCGATGAGGAGAACGTAGTAGATTATATTGAAGCTCAATGAGACTCATATTGGACTACTCTTTCGTGTGAGCGAATACTCTATCATGGGCTTGAATCATGGTTCTTGCACGGGTCCCAACGGGTACACCAAGAGCTGCTTGCGACCCAGCTTCATGATCTTTTAGTTGCCTCGATCTGAGCTGGCCAATCAGCTCCAGGCGCTCCAAGATTCCTGCCGTACAATATGATCAAGCGTGCATGGTATCAGATGATATTCTCAGTTTTCTGGAGAACCATATGATTGCGGCAGTGTTATATGAGTAATCCATCGTTGTGGATTTGGGAAGGTGGTCACGAGATGTCACCTGAACCAATCTAGCTGTCAAAATTAAGCTTTGCAGATGACATGTCAGTGGGCTATCTTTGCCACACCAAATTTCACTTGGATTGTGTTATGATCTTAGGATACGCCTTCAGTGTTTCCCACTAATCCTCCGAATGCGGGGTCCCTGTGGGACACAGAGATTAGAGCCTCACCACGTCTCTTTCCTCACTTCACGTCTCACTTAATTAAGATCATCAAGTTTATTGATCGATCGATTGATTCATAATGTCTTTTGCTTATGCTATCTACGAAGTAGAATCGAGTATCCGCTGAATGCGAGATACCACCTGGCCCTTGGCCTGGATTCATCCGGAACGCCTGCATGCTGTCCCTTACCGTCCCTTGATTTTTGTTTCCTCCCTGAACGCCGTCATGCATCATGTATATACAGGTCATTAATAAAAGAAAGCAAGTCCCAAATCGCACCAGAGCCAAAACAACGCTTCTAGATCGATGCGATAGCCTGCTCCTCCTTCTCCGCCTTGACGATGGGCGCGATGGCCGCCTCGCCCTGCTTGGCCGCCTCGGCCGACGACGCGGGGGCGGCGTCCTTGGCCTCGACGGCCTTGCGCTCCATCTCCTCGAGGTACTGCGCGTAGCGCGACTTCTTGTTGTGGATACCGCACTCAGTCTTCTGCTGGCCCTTCCAGCGGCCGGCGCGCTCGTCCTCGCCCTCCTTGACGGGGACGGTGGAGTGCCAGTCGCCGACGGACTTGTAGCCCTGGTCGAGGAGGTCGTTGTAGGGGACGTTGTGGGTCTTGATGTACTCCTGCACCTGCTTGAAGGACCAGCTGGCCATGGGGTTGATCTTGATGACGCCGCGCTCGTCGTCGACCTCGATGATGGGCATCTTGTCGCGGGCGCCGCCCTGGGAGCGGCGGCGGCCGGTAAGGATGGCGGCGACGCCGAGCTCCTGGTAGGCGCGCTGGAGGGGCTCGACCTTGGCGATCCAGTCGTACATCTCGGCCTCGGTCTCCCAGAGCTTGGGACCGTACATGGCCTCGAACTCCTCGGTGGAGGCGACGCCGTAGGGCTTGAAGATGTGGAGGGCGACGTTGGGGTAGCGCTCCTGGATGCGGTCGACGAGGGTGTGGGTCTCCTTGAAGTGGTAGAGGGTGTCGAGGAAGATGAGGTCGACGTTGGCGGCGGAGGGGTTCTCCTTTTGGATCTTGGAGAGCATGTCGAGGGTGACGAGGCCGGTAAGGCCAAAGGCCGTCGACTGGAAAAGGTTGGGGAACATGATCTTTGAGAAGCGAAGGATGTCGAGGGGGTGCATGTTCTCGAGCTGGTCGTTGAGGTGCTTGAGGTGGGGTTGGGTGAGGGAGATCAAGGGGAGCGCGGGGATGGACGACGATGTCGATGAGGCATCGGTGGCGGAACCATATCCGGACTCGACTTCGACACGATCAAGCTTTGCCGCATCGGCGGCGTTCAACCGAGGAGACGACTCGACGGAGGACGTCTGCGTCGTGGGCTCAGCAACGGCAGCCATTGTGTGAGGTTTGTGTATGAGTTGAGGGAGAAGGGGTTTGATGTGTGGTTGCGAGGCACCACGAGTATATGACGAGTAGTGGTTGCAAGAGTGTATGGGTGTTGAAAACCCGGGGTATATTTCACTCGACAAGGCTTTGATCAAGAGACAAGATGGATTAAAGGCAAATGACGCAAGATGCTGAAGCTGGGGAAAGTGAGTTCAGATGCTCGGATCAGAGAAGAGGAAGAAGGCAGTAGTTGATTTATGAGGACAAGAGGCACTTGAGGCAGGCAGAACTTACACCGCGAGTTAAAGAGGCGGGAGGAGGATGACTTGTTCATATTGGGCACAGGGCCATCACCAAGCAACATTACTAATTTGCTTTCCAACCCATTCTCAGACAGGAGCCCCGATCGAACCAAAGGCCGAGAGAGGGACTGAGGGACGAGAGCCCGCTTCCCAACTATTGCGCAATCGCAGCTTGTTTGGAGCATCGCATTGAACAAGCGCTGAGGAATTTGCATCTCTAAGCAAGAGGCGTGGTCTGGGAGCAATCACGACATCGACGCTAAACCTTTCGTGACGAAGACAGTGCAATGTGATTGGCCATGGGTCGCAGGGGTTGCTCCGTACCGTCGAACATCCCGCAATTGCGCCATCGCCCCGGACGCCGGAGTGGATGTTGACAATGGCAAACTTTCCCCAACAGCCGGCCCCGAAAGCCGGGAGCCGTGACGTTCAGAAAATAGATATTTGGGGCCGGACTCCTCCTCCGTCTCTATCGAGGTTGAGCTTCTCCTCATTATCTGATTCACGGTGAGTGCGGTCGAAAATAGGGGTCAAAAGGGGGCAGATCTTCTGGTTGAACAGAAGCGCTGGTGTAAGTTCGCCATGATGATGCCATAAGACGTGATTCCGCCCGGGCCACTAGTCGGCTTGGCCTAGTGTATGTGGTACCGGCAATCGGTCCTGACAAAACACATCGGCGCGGCACGGCAATCGGTACCCGCCCGGCCGTCGGTGTGGATGAGCCGGAGGTGGTGGTCTGCGCCTGTTGCCAATGTCAGCAATCCCACGCCGGACAACGTATCTCCATCGCCCAACCAGTCACCATACGAGTTTCGTCTCCGATCGAGGGTATCATCCGTGGTGACTCGCCCGCGAAATTTTCTGACAAACCCACAGTTGGGTTTCAACACCAGTTGTGTTTCGACCGCTAACACCGCGGAAACGCACTTCGTTTACCGACTTGTTCCGAGGGACAGCTTGGAGCTTCGCCGTGCCCAGCGCCTCTTTAAATGAATGAGTGGGAGCCTCCGTCCCTGTCTGAGTGAGCATGAAGAAACGCTCTTGTTGTAATCCAGCCCAATGACTCGGAGTTGATACTTCAACCAAGGAACTGAGCAGACCAAGGCTTCTTGGACCCCTTTGTTTCTTGGCCAACATGTCGACATCCACAAGTGACTGGAGATGAGATGACAGCACAGCTGTGAGGGGACTGAGGGATTCCACTCGGGTGACCGCTCATTCATCGTCCTGCGCCGTTGTCTGCCTCCCATCGCCAAAGCAGAAGCAGACGCAGACAGACATGCCGATTACGGCTCCCTGCGCCGCAGCGCCGTTCTCGAAAGGGCGTGGAGTCTAGACTCCGGACAGATGGCAACTGGCCTAGTCTCCATGACGTGGACAGTGTCTGGTGCAAGCGTGCCTCTTATTTCCGCGCGGCTCCGGTACTCTATCAGCGGAGCCAGCTCCTGAAGCAATGATCAGTTTTCGGTCATCGCGGTGACTGGTGGATAACAAACTTACCAGCAGAAAAAGCCAAGGCCAGCCTGCACTGCTTGCCTGCCAATGACCAACACAGTAGGTGGCCAACGTGAGGTAGGGTAAGGTAGGCCAGTGCGTGATTCTGCGTATGTACACTAGTACGGCGATAGGGCTGTCATGGAATCGTCCCTGACTTTCCCTCCCCTGGATGACCGGCGTCGGTAGATTCGGGCGAGGCTGATGGTCCCGCAGATCGCCCGAAGGTTCGCTCTTTCACACTGGCTTCCAACTCACGTGTTCGGACTCCTGGCCAAAGTTTTCTCCTTTCACCTTGGACGGAACCCGGAGACGACTGACCGACCTCACAGTGATGTGATTCAGCCTCACCATGTTATTCGGACCGGGCCTCCTTCCCCCCCTCAGCTTATCAGAAGTTCAGAACAGAATTTTTAGAGGGGTAACCACGTGATCCTGGCGTCCACTTTGGGGAATACCACGGCCCACGGCTCAAGGAAGGTCCCACGGGAGAGCTTGCCATGCGACGCCCAGCTCAGCCAATGGCGCGCCGCCCAAGACGTCGGGACACGGGAATTGCGGGCCTCGCTCGGATCCGAACCAGTGACGGCGAGGCGGGGCGCACAGTCAGACTTCACAGTGCACCAGCACCCGCCAGCCCTCCGCCGCGAGGCCCCATCCTCTCTTTCTCTCTATCGTCTGTCGTCCAACCACGCCAACATGTTTTACCTTTCGAAACAATGAGGGCTACTAAGTTGAGCTGGGTCTTTAAGCTTTACCTTCACCACCACGCCGGGCCCCGAGCTTCTGTCTTTACCCCTCCCCCTCGTCCTCAGTCTCTCTCGCGCTTTCTCTCTTTCTCTCCCCGCAATCTTCCAAGCCGCCGCTGCCGTCGCCAGCAGCTGTTGCTGAAGGCCCATCCTCCTCCTCCTGCATAGTCCTCTATCCGTCCCGTCCCCCAGTGTCCCATTCACCCTTCGTCTCAGCCTTGTCTCCGTCTTGGTCCGTCGTAGTTTAAACCCCGCCTTAGAAGAAAAGACGATAGAGAAGAGTATTCCCGCCATGGCCGACGCAAGCCCCGCCAAGTCGACAACGTCGCCCCGACCTCAGCTGACCTCGTCCATGAGGAGCAGCTCCTTCTTGCGCGAGCACCAGCAGTACCGGCCCCCGCAGCACCCAGAGAGCCGCTTCGGCATCGACACCGTCGTCGAGGACCTGAGCAACGTCGCCGTCTCTCCGCCAAAGCAGCACAACCACAACGCCGGCCACAAGCACTATGCGGGCTTCAACGGCATCCCCTCAGAGGACGACCCACCCACCATCCGCAGCGGCCTGAACCACAGCTACTCGCACCCCAACTGCGCGCCCGCGGGTGGGAAGAAGCAGTCGCGCTTGGTGGCCACGCTCTTCTACAAACCGAACGGCGGCGACGGCGCCGGCCACCACACGACAGCGGCCGGAGCAAGTGGCGGCCGCGTCGCATCCCCCCCGACCCTCACCTCCGACAGCGCCAGCGGCAAGGAGTCCCTCCCGGCCAACTTCGCGCCGACCCAGGACCCCGAGTCCTTCCCCCTCGAACCCCCGACCCTCGAGCCCGAGAAGCTCGACCACCTGTACGGATCCCACGTCTCGCCCATGTGCGTGACCTCGTTCCTGCACCTCATGTCGACCTTCCCCCTCCCCGCCGGCGAGTCCGACTACAGCTCCTCCCACCGCTGCCTCGACAGCCAGGAGCACCCGCGCGTCGTCGAGCTGACCCTCGACCCGGCGCCCTGCCAGAGCTACCTCAGCCTGACGGACCTGCGGCGGCACGAGCTCATCTACCGTTTCGAGAGGGAGTGGAGCGTCGACGTCGCGCTGCAGCCCGACACGCTGTGGCGCAGGCACCCGCGTCTCGTCGTCTTCGACATGGACAGCACCCTCATCACGCAGGAGGTGATTGACTTGCTCGCCGCGACGCTCACGGACCCGCCCGACCTGGCCGCGCGCGTCGCCGACATCACGCACCGCGCCATGCTCGGCGAGCTCGAGTTCGACGCCGCGTTCCGCGAGCGCGTGCAGCTTCTCAAGGGTCTGCCCACCTCCTGCTTCGAGCAGCTGCGGCCCGTCCTGGATGTCACCAAGGGCGTGCCCCGCCTGATCAAGGCTCTGAAGCGCCTCGGTGTGAAGACCGCGGTGCTGTCGGGCGGGTTCTTGCCCCTGACGAGCTGGCTTGCTGGAGAGTTGGGCATCGACTACGCGCACGCCAATGAGGTTGTCATCGACGATGCTGGAAAGCTCACTGGGGAGGTCAAGGGCCTCATTGTAGGCAAGGAGCGGAAGCGTGACCTCCTTGTTGAGATTGCAGCCAAGGAGGGCATCGATCTGTCGCAGGTTGTTGCGGTTGGTGACGGCGCAAACGATCTGCTGATGATGGGCGCGGCGGGCTTGGGTGTTGCGTGGAACGCTAAGCCGAGGGTGCAGATGGAGGCCGATACGAGACTCAACAGCGAGAGCCTGTTGGACTTGTTGTACCTCTTTGGGTTTACGGGTGATGAGATTGAGCAGCTCGCCTCGTAGATTGGCGTGTGGCTTTTTGTAGACTTGTGTGTGGGTGTGGGAGTGGTGTTGTGGGCGTAAGTCGAATGGTGTTTTTGGGGAGTTGGGTGACACCGAGGCAATGCATTGCTGTTTTTTTGGGAGTATTCTTTTCACTCGCCCTCATGATTCAATTGCATGCCATTGAGTTTCCTGCAGCAGAGATGTTCAGATGAAATCCCGCTTCATGAGCCTCGGAGCATATAAAACCGGTCAAGGTAGCTTGATGAGCCGCGAGGCCGAGTGATGTAGTTTCAACGTTGGAGATACTGTCCAAGGTAGAAAAACGTGGATAAAACTGAATTCTCCCTATCTACACATGAAAACCACCTTCCGCCCATTGCACAGACTGTGCAAAAACACGTCTTCTCAACGCAGGTATCTCTAATTCTTTAAGGGTAGCCGTCCTTGCCCCACTTGTTGTACTTTTCGTGCAATTCCTGTGTCATGAAGCGTCAGCCCGGCTATTTCCTCCGGCTTCAAATCCCGAAGAATCCCGGGCCTTGGAGCAAACTCGACCTCCCACGAACGGAGTCTCTCCGATGTGGTGAGATGGATCAGATAGGTATATCAAAAACACACCTTGGGGAGAGTGACATCGGGAATGATGACAGTGTTGACGGCGCTGGGAGCGTCTCTGGGCTCGTTTGCGGGGTTGCCACCGGGGTGGTACTTGTACTTGCCCTCGCTGTCGGTCTCCCAGGGCATACCGGCCTTCAGGACGGGGCTCTCGGAGGTAGAGGAGGTGGGGGAGCGGCCTGCGTGGGAAGAAAAAAAAAAACGTCAGTGGCTGTTCAATCATCGAGGAGGATATACCAATTATTCCTGAGACGTACCGAAGTAGAGGCCGGCACCGCCGAGGGCAGCAACCATGACACCACCGAGGATCTGTTTGACAAAAAATCCGATTAGCCTTCCATTCCGGCTCGCTTGCATGCGATTGTTTTGACGCCGCTTCCAGCCTTTCTGTCCGCACCCCTTTGCGCAACTATCGCTTCTTCGTAGGCTCGGCGATATTTCCTGGTTGCTTCAGAAGCTCGGCTGCGCGGGGGAAGGGATGCGGTGGACGTTGGACGGCGGACGGGTCGGTCTAAGGGCATCTCGGCTGGATGGACGGGATATCACGCACGAGGGTCTCGGGGTTGCGCTTGGACTCCTGGGTGAGGGTCTGCTTGGCCTGCTCGTCGGCGAAGCGGCGGATGGAGGTAGAGAAGGCGCGGCGGGCGACGAAGGAGGCCATTGTTGCGGTGGTTGACGGGTGTCGTTGGGGTGTGATGTTGTGAGTGGTGTCGGCTTGTCGTATGATTTCGGAGCTTCAGGTTCGTCGAGACAGGATCCCAAGGTTGAAATTCGGGAGAAACGATTGGCCGGGCTTACGAGTGGAAGGTGATTGGTCAATCGAGGACGATGTGGGCATTACCTCATCCTGCACCGGATAGATGACTCTTATGCGCTTAAAGGCTTCTCTTCACTAAGAAGTATAATTGACTAACGGCTTCCTAGCATGTGAGAGTCCTGCTATGGCAAGTATCTGCCAGCAGTGAGAAAGATAGAGATGCTTTCACTTTGATCCTGGCTGATTTTGCGTTATTTGCATCGACACATGGAGCGGCCTTCCAGGTTATAGGGATCTATTAGCTGCAGACTGAAGCTTCGCTGGCCCATGAGCTTATCATATCCAAGCGAAATATAGCGTGACTGTCCGAGTTTTATGTTCTAGAACGACATTGAACAAACACTGCGAGAATAGATAGTCTCAACAAACAATTGAGAACAAATCAAGAGGCTGCCTTACAATACGGAGAGGCTGGCATCAAACTCGGAGCCTGGGGGACCGGTACTTCCGAACACAGAGCTTATCCTGGACAATTTGTCGCATCGGGGCTTGCGTGCTTGTCCTCATTGAAGTCTCACATTATGCCTGGCGAACATCTCCGTTAGCATCAAGATGCATCAGCAGCCTATATTATCGTGGTAGTGTCTATGCTCGATTGGCTCAAGACCGTGTGAGATATTTTGCTTATCACACCTCAAGTATCGCCGAGAGCTTATGCTTTGGGGAGTCCGTGGATAGAATGGGAAGCAATGATGCTGATAGATCTACCGTCGCTCAGAAGAATGTGAATGTAGTTTCCGTCTTCGATAGCAACCATTCTAACAGGCTCATACCCACGAGGCTGGAGTATGTAGAGCGCGGTTCATCCGCAGAAACGTGCGTCGATTGTCAAGAACAGTCATATGGTGCAAACTGTCAGAAGACCCCAGATGGTCAGGGTATCCCTTGTTTGAGCAGACAAGCCATAATGTACGGATAGTGAACGGGACCGCATTGGTGCTGACAATGGCGGCATAATCGCATTCTCCTACATGTTGAAGCAGTGAATTTCATGGATGAGGATCGGATTCAAGACGTCTCATTCACTGCGGTGCATGCTTGGATTGTGTGCGATTGGCCCTGTTCGTGCCGTGTCCCAAGCATTTCCCTGGGGATGCTGCTCGGACGAAAGCGTTCCGAGCGAGGACCAACCCAGCAGATTAAAGAGATCATTCCGGGAACCCTCAGCGTTGCAGCACTTCAACGGCATTCAGCGAAAGGGCGAGACGCGTCTTAAGCCACGGAATATAAGCAAGACCAAAACAACGGTTTAGCATTCCTCACATGTCAGCGATGAGAGTGGAGGAACGGGAGGCTGAGAAACATCGCCAGTTTAGATTCGTAGAGACTGGAGAGTAAATTAAAGGCTAGAACAACCATGGCCTGTGCGTTTTATGCTAATTGCTATCCCGTACTGGTGGTGTCCGACTGTCCGTAGGGCAAAGGCATCGAAGACGGGTACCTGAGCGAAAGACACGCTCCTTCGTCCGCCGTGCTCCCCATCTCATCACCCCGGCACTGCAGCCATCACCGCGCCGCGTGCTGTTGGCCTGTTGCTGCTGTAGCAATTTAAAGCTGGGACCCAGATCCGGCAATTGTAATTAAATTGGCCTGGCCTAGTTGCACCGGCGCCTGCATAAAAACGCGGCCAAAGCCGTTTCGCAGGGGGCTTGAGCGCAGGCACTATCGTGAAGAACACGTGATACAGGCGGAGGAATGTTAGTGATGACATACGGCAGCTACATCCTGCACTATCTGAGCTTAACCAAATCAGGGTTCTATGCAACCTTCCACATGCACAAAGCACGGATACCCAGGTTATGCCGCCCCTTACATTGGGTCGCAGTATCCGTATGGTAAAGCCTTGCAGCGAATCCAGCCCAACATACCCAAGAAAAACCCCCCCGTTCGACTTGCGCTGCGGTGCTCCAATCCAATCCTTCTCCGTCGCTGTTGGGCAATCCATGCCTGGACTGGGTCGCTTTCTGGTCTCGAAAAAGCAACACCAGGCATAAGACGAGACTCTGAGTCTTGTCCGACGTCTTCTTCGCTTCGCTCATTCACGGCTCGCTCGCCATCCCAACCTTCCTTTCTCCGTCTCTCTCTCCCACTCTCTCTACACGATACAATACGACAAACGATACCAACCGATTCACTCCCTCGCCTTAATACACGGACCTTTTCCTATTCCTTTGCACGACCTCTTTTTAATACCACATTCCGACCGCAGACTTTTGCGCTTCAGCCTTTTCCAAACCTTCCACGATCCAGTCTCCGAACCTACCGAACCCTTCGTCCCGCGCGATAGTCATCACAACCTCACGTCAAAGCGCCGATTTCAAGACCGACCACCACCCTCCCCCCCGGCCGCTCTTGACAAGCTCTTCTCCCAACCTCGCGATACCCTTTTATCAACACGTCAAAAAAGCGACATGTTATAGTGGAGGAAACTTGCGAACTTTCCAACATCATTGCGCCGCCGATCCGACTGCGACATCAGCGCTCAAAATGACTTCAAAAGAACAGGCCGGTGGGCCTAGCACGCCAACCGACGATGGCGGCTTTCCGAAACCCCAATTTCCTGGACGCTCCGACCGACCAGGCCCGCCGAGTATCATCTCGTCGCGAATGACCGACATCGCGTCCGACGACGGCGGGGACGCTGTAGCCCAGACCTTGTCCGAAAATCCGCGCAGAAAATCTGGTCTGGCTTCAGAAACTGTGTCACGGCCAGGGACGGCCAAGACAGGCATGTCTGGACCCCTCGAAGGCCGGAGACGGGGTCCGCCCCCACGAATGAATTACATTACCAGTCTCAACGAGAAGAGGGGAAGCATCGGAGGCGGTAGTACCGCTGGTTCGATCAGCAGCAGACCGCCTAGCTCGACAAGTCGAAGTCATGTTCCGTCTCTTACGTCTTCAGCCTTCTTTCGTCCCATGAGTTCCCAAAAGCTGCAAGCCCAGCGTGGTGGTTCACGACCTGCGACCCGTCAGCAACCTACATTGGAGGATACCGAACCTACACCCGAACACAACCAGAGTGCCGCCGCAGCAGCAGCTGTAGCCAGTGGAGGACCAAATGCTCGGCACAGCGTCATCTCAAACCCGGTTTCGAATCCCGTTGCGCGCCTCCAGCGGCAGCTTAGCGACGACGACAACATGAGACCACCTCCGTCTCGCGGAACCGAATACACCGACCAAGGAACGTACGATCGAATCACCGCCAACACGAGCCCGACTCATGGTCACTATGCTGCCGGTAGTATGTCCGAGAGCGTCACGCCGCTGCAACGGAACCAGCGCAATAGCCGAAACCTGAGCGTCAATGTCGACAGGGGCTTCAGAGAACGAGGCAATCAACCTAGCCCTATCAAATCGCCGCGATCTTTCCGCTCAAGTTTCTTGCTGCCAGGCAGAAGTGACCAGAACAAGTCAAACCGGACTCTACCTGGCGGCGAAAAGCTTTCATCGACCGCATCCACGCCGCAGCTCAACCCCGTAGACTCTTCGAGACCCGCCGACAAGAACAACTTGAAGAAGTCCAAGACAAACCTTGGCTATGTTTTCCAGTACTTCGAAGGCAATACTGTCTTCTGCTTGGGAGGGCGATTCCAGAACACCAAGCATCGGCCAGTCAACGTAGCCACTGGGCTGTTCATCATTATTCCCGCCGTCCTATTCTTCGTCTTCTCAGCCCCTTGGATATGGCATAACATCAGTCCTGCCATCCCAATCACTTTCGGATACGTCTTCTACATTTGCATTTCCTCGTTCCTCCACGCATCCCTGTCGGACCCAGGCGTAAGTTGTGACACCCTTACTTCGGTAAAAATATAGCTAACCGCGCATAGATTTTGCCGCGAAACCTTCATGCCTTTCCACCGGCTGATTCGACAGAGGATCCTCTCCGGCTCGGGCCTCCGACCAACGACTGGACGCTGATCAAGTCAGCAGAGTCAGCCACGGCCGCCATGGAAGTTCCAGTAAAACATTGTAGAACATGTAACATTTGGCGGCCTCCTCGGGCTCATCACTGCCGACTGTGCGACAACTGCATCGAGACCCACGATCACCACTGCGTTTGGCTCAACAACTGTGTCGGAAAACGCAATTACCGATATTTCTTTGCTTTCGTCTCCTCGGCAACCTTCCTCTCTCTCTACCTCCTCGGCGCCTCTCTAGGCCAAATTCTCGTACACATGCACCGATCCGATATTTCCTTTGGTAAATCCATCGACGACTTCCGCGTTCCCTTCGCTATGGTCATCTACGGCTTTATTGCCTTCTTATACCCTGCTGCCCTCATGGGCTACCACATCTTCCTCATGGCTCGAGGCGAAACAACGAGAGAGTACATCAACTCTCACAAGTTCATCAAGGCAGAGCGGTTCCGAGCCTTCACTCAGGGCAGCATGCTCAAGAACTGGATCGTCGTCCTCTGCCGACCGAGGCCTCCTACCTACTACCAATTCAAGAAGAGGTATATTGGTGGTGATCAACGCCTCGGTGCTCTCCGGGATCAGAAGGTCGACATTCAGGGTATGGAAATGCAGAACGTCAGACCAACGACAGGGTTTCAAGGACCCGTCTCCTTGCGCAACGAAACAAGCACTACCGCGACATAATTACCCATTTCTTTGATTGTTTTCTGCGTGGCGTTGTTTAGGAGCCATCATACGTTTAAACGGACCCTGGATACCTGTAATGTATGTTTTCTATTATACCCGGCTTTACCTATCAAAGCAGGTAAACAGACATAAAACGCCGGTTCTCTCCCTTGAGGCAGGGGACGAGAGCCCGTATTATTTTTCATCGCGGCAATGCGCTACGATATCGGAGCCAGTACATAGACGTTTGGCGCAAATTACTGCGCTTGTAACAAATGCTAGTTCATACCCCGAGCTGAAAGCTTCCATATTCGCGTGACGTGTGTCTTTAATTCCTGAATCACAGCTGCTTGCCTTTGGCAATCAACGATCAAACACGCTTCCACATCACCACTATGCTCAAACAAGCCGAGACTGTGAATCACTAATTCGTGCAACCTTTGACAAACATATAAATAGGCTTGGTACTTTGCCATATCACCTACCTCGGAATTCCACTTATACACCGGACAACAGGAACAACGACCAACAGCATCAGTCAACAGAAAAGAAGCTCTTGAATCCTCAGAACTTTCATACGGTCTAGGCCGAGAGCGATCAAGATACAATGGCCTACGTATTCGACGGATACTCCGAAGCCAGCTCCGGTCGGAACACACCTCGCGGCCAGCAAGGCCCTGGCTCTGGAGGGGAAGGAGGCCGTCAGCAGCGTGGCTATGGGCATGGGGATATACCCGTCGGTGGCTTGCCTGGAGGGATCTACTACGGTACGGGTCGCTTTTACGAGGAGAATCTGCGTAACGAGCAGCGGCGGCGGCAAGAGCAACAGCAAGAACGAGAACAGAATCAACAGCGACACAGGCACGATCCACAATGGCAACCAGAAGAGGTAGGTGAGCAGCAGCATCAACACGATCAACAGCAGCAGCATCAGCCTCCGCGGTATCCCGCTTTTGGTGGCTTCAGCCAAGCGAACGGCTCTGGACACGATAATGATCGTGTGAGAGAGGCTTCTGCTGCTGCGAGGGCGTTCCTTGAAGCGCTGCAGAGAGAGCACTGGCGGCGGAGACAGCAGCAGGCTGATGCTAGAGGCGGCGGATTTGGTTTGGGCCCTGGTTTTGGGGAGATGGATGACGATGACTTTGGGCCGACTGAGGAGATTCGGTTTGAGGATTTGTTCGGGGATATCTTTGGAAATTTCGGTGGAGGCGGTGCTGGTTCGTTCGATCCTCGTCCCGGCGCCGGCTCCGGCTCTGGACCTGAACCTGACCAGGGCCGTACCGATGGGCCTGGCGGTCAAGGAGGCGGTGGGGGAGAAGGCAATCCCGGCCCCGAACCAGCAACTTCTGGACCCGGTGGAAACGGCGGTGCCTTCCGGCCGAGCTATGGACCCCCGCCAGGTCACTACGGAGGTGGATGGTACGGGTACGGTCCCGCGTTTGGGGAAGCGGCGCGTGCTCGACGGGGAGGGGCGGGGATGACCTTTGCTGATCTCTTTGAGCTTTGCCAAAGCTGGCCTGGTCCGGATAATTCGTTTGGGGATTATGACGAGTCGGGAAATATGCCTCATGCATACTTTTGATCTTTGGGGGTTTGAGGCGTTGATTGGAGTTGGAGAGTTCATGATGATTTAGGGGTACATCGAGAGTCGAGTACCAAGTAAGGCACTCGAGTAACTAGCCAAGCGTTCAATGTTCCTAGAAGTACAATGATGCGAACTGACTATGTCCCGGTGTGAAACCTTGTCTTTGCTGGTAATACGGGTGATTCAATGTACAGACTGCGATCTCGATCATCTCATTCTGACCGCCGTCAAAGCGAACAACACTTTACGTGGATCACAGACACTGCATGGATCGCGTAGCTATAGAAGGGAATCGAGAGCCAAGTTGATTATTGTTAAGGGGATTTGCGGTCTTCGGATTCGGAGAGGCGCGAGGTCCACACAGCCTCCAAATGCTGTGCCCCCAACTCGGCGCAGCAGGGCGCGATCATGTCCATTTCTTTCCAACGATATGTCTTAAACATACCGTGCATGCCCACCCGGCTTACGGCCGAAGAAATTCCAGCCTGTGCAACCATCCTGCTGCCAACTTGAGAAGCCAACATCTCAAAATTGGCCTCTTTCCGCAAGCCCATTCGATCTTGCATGCTAGTGAACTTACCTAGCTCGACAAGGCTGACATGAAATCTTGCTCACACACGCGTTGAGACTAGACGCTATATCCTCGATTGGGGAACTTTCAAGAGACTTAAATACGCCTTGTAATCACTCTCATCTCTTCATACTGCTTGGAATCTTGCTTTCTTCGTCCGGAGCTCGCCTACTATCCGTATCTCAGACCATAGCCCGCACTATGAGCACCCTCTCGAAGTCCCAAGGTGTCCGCGCGGGCAAGACATATGCAACTGAAAAGGATTGGCACCGTATGCAGCCTACTATTACCAAGCTCTATCGAGATGAGAATAGATCCCTGAGACAAGTTAGCGAGATCATGGAATCCGAATATCATTTCTATGCAACGTAAGTCAACATCGAATCACATCTGTACTTTTCTGACTGAACCTCGTCCAGAACCAAGATGTACAAGTCAAGACTGAGTACGTGGAAACTAGACAAGAAACTTAAAGAAGCTGAAGTAATGGCGATGCTTCGACAAAAGGAAGACCGCGACGCTGCAGGGAAGCGCTCTCGATTCTTTCTCCGAGGCCAAGAGGTCAACTGGGAACGCGTGGTTCAGTATCTGAAACATAGACCCGACTTACAAGATAATTCCAGCGTCGATATTGCAAGATATCTAGGTACGAGTTTAGACATCACATGCTCTACACCCTCGCCGACCTTATTCAAGAGCGAAATTCCTCGTCGAATAGAACCACATGCAGATCTGCGTCTGCTGGACAACTCCATAAGGCTTATACATTCCTATCTTGATGGAGCATTTGAAACAGGTTTGGTAGTCATCGACGGGCGTATTCTCTACGGACCAAACGGGAAACCAGCAAGGCAAAGGGTCCGGAAGTGGCACAATGACATGGCTGGCATCCACGTACTGCTGAGCAGCAAGGAAACAACTGCTGCATTCCGCCTTCTGAACAAGCAACTTGACTTTCTGAAGCATCTTATAAGGGAACAAGACCCCGAGTTGCTATTACTAACATTCCACGACATCTTCGACCTGGAACCCAACCTCGCGGAGTCGCTCCTTGTCTTTGTGTGTAGGATGCACCAGGCCATATTTGGCGAACATCACCCCCTCAGCTTGATCTGGGACAATCTCGTTCGCTTCACTGCAAAGACCCGCTTACAGGCTGTCTTGAGCATGGCCGCTTCCACCGCGAAGGAAATGGAGGCGAGGATGGGGGCCCAGTCTGCATACGTGGAGGCTCTGGAGTGTCTTCAGGTGGATGTGCATAAACAAACGGGCTCCAAGGATGCGTTCGGGAGTTCATGAGGTTGACATGCCTCTAAGGAGAGCTTCCACACGCTTGGGAGGGACCAACAACGTATAATAAAGAGTAGTTAGGATTCGAACCTCATCAAAAAAATTTAGCAGAAGTAAATTGACTACACAACTGTGTATTTCAACGGCACTTTGAGAATGCCAAGATGCTTAGCAGATAGGTCTCTCTCGGCTAGCAGACATATCTCGTTGATCAAAACAGAGGTCTCCTTCGAAGCTATAAACTGTCGAAAGCTACTAGTGACGAGAGTACAGATTTGAGAAGAAAGAGTCTTCCTACCCTATACTTATCCCAACCGGAAACGACGCCTCTGCTGAACGAATGGAAGCCCAGCAAAAGGCAGATTCTCAGCACTTTGCGATTCGTGTGAACCCAAATCTTCGATCCTCATGAATGCTAGTAACCCTGTTCGCACCGTGAGGCCAGGGACAGACTCAATAACTATAGCGCACGTTGCGTGCTCCAGAGGCGAGAAGCATATTGCCGTAAGTTTTCGGTCGAGGAAGGTATCTTCGTATCCGAAGTCTGGGGTGAACTTGATAACAAACTCTCCTTTTCCATCAGAGGGTTTGCGTGTTGTTGGGAGATAGAACATGTCGTCGTGCGAGGTGCCTGAACGCCGTTTGATCTTCCGATAGCAGAGGGGCCCGGTCTGAAATGACCAGCATTCGATGTGAAGATACCTGGTACATTGCATGATTGACGAATCAAGACCACCAGTCTCAAAGAAGTCGGCCCATTCAACCATGTTTCCTTGAGGCGTTTCCACCCAAACCTCTGAGTCAAAGTTTTCTGTAAGTTCCACTAACTTGGGAGGCCTCAGATGGAAGTAGCCGTGGTGACCAAACAACGTCTTCCCATTCTGGGATACCCACGACCAGCTGGGAAAACCTGCCAACCTAGCATAGTTCTTTCCTTCAGGCCGAATCTCCCATTGGAGTCCAGCGAGAAAGGCGCGTCTCGAAGCAGTGGCGTCTACTACCAGCCAGCCGGAGGCGACTATCGGGATGCCCCAGTACGAAAAGCATCCTGGATTGACTCGTGACCATTTCTTCAACACTCCAGATACAGCAGCGAGTCTGTCGCTTGAGTATGTCAGCTGGCAATCGCAATACTTTTGTAGTATAGCCCAGACACCGTCTGGGGTGTTGAGGAGAGTCCACTCGGGCCTCTCGTGGTGCTCCAGATTCCCCTGCAAAGCAAGAGGACGCGTGAGGTGTTCAAAGCACATCATATCGTGGCACTCAAACGAGACCTCATAGTTGGAAAAGTAGAGTCTTCTCCTCGACAGACACGTCTCTTGGAACGTCCACCCCCGCGTGGACCACCTTGATCGGGAGATCTGGTCTAGTTGCCACTGGTGGCTGAAATTTGTCACGATTCCTTGCTCGCCGATTGTTTTGGTGATTGGAACGTGTTGCGTTCGGCCGAGAGACAAGCCCGGCAGCCCGTAGCTCGGGTCTTTGGCGCCGATGGCGATGATGCTGAGTTCTGCGTCGCCGTAGATCTGGTCCATCCTCTCCACCTGACTCATCTTGTGAGTTGCGTCGTCTTGCCAGATGCAGTATCTGTCAATCCAGATGTAGCGGAAGCCGAGCTTGATGGTGGCCCTCATGGCGTCTTGAATGACTGGCGGAAGGTCGTCCGGCAGACACGGGTATGTGTACTTGGCTGGAGGCGCGACTCCCCAAACGTAGCTCAACGCTACGTAGCGATACCTAGTGGCTGGGTTTGTGTTGATGATTTGACGGGTCTCGCAGTCTATGAGCTTGAAATGAGGGAGAGTTTGCCAGTCTGGGCTGGTACGACATGCATCGTGATGATTCTCGCATAAGTGTATCCACGATCGAACGAGGCCGTAGTCGATTCTCTCCTCGCGCAAGACTCTAGCTTGCATCGGAAGGTCCAGAAGAGGTCGAGTGGGCTCCAAGATAGCAGTGGATGCAAGAGAGACCAGACTTCCTGGCGCCTCTCGATGGGCGAAACGGATCCACGCTGTCAAGCCGCCACCAGCACTGGTATTGCCAAAGTACTGAGCGGATGCTGTCTTGTAGTGTGAGGGATTCATGACGAGAAGGAGTACGGAGTTGAAGTCTGGACGTTCCCCGCCATCTCCAAGCTTCGCCTTCTCAGCAAAATTGTAGAGCAGATTGGCGGGGATCGCTAACATGATCTTCTCCTTCTCGGCCATCGGATAGCGGTTCAGGTTGAAGCCGATGGAGAAGACCAAATCACAGAACGGGCAACTTGGGATTATGCCTGGGGGGTATTGACTGATCCTATCCTCTCGGGTGAGTGGTCTCCAGTCTCCAACATGCTGGATGTATTTGGTCCAGCTGGTCTTGTAACTCTGAGCCGAGCCAACGGCCGGAAGACCGTCGAAACGAGCCGGGTCGAAGACTGCCTGAAGATTTAGCTTGGTGCAGTTGCGACAGAGCCGATCATCTGAAAACGACATTGTGATCTTGCATGAGTGACTGTTAGTGTGTTGAGGTGCAGACGTGAGGTTGGCGAGGCTCTGGAATCCTGCCTGTCCAGCTGGGTGTTGGGCGTAAGCGCCCCTGTCACGACCTTGCGTCCAATTATATCCACTTCATGCAGGAGTGGCTTGGCCAGCAGCGTCGCGCGAGACATCGAATCCAGCACCCATGTATCACGCAAAGACCCAACTCAGCTCACGCCAGGATGACAAGCTAAATTCGTTATGTGATCCTCGACTACGGGGGATGCCACACGTTACCCTGTTCTGTTTGGATTGAAATAGAGCGTATCCGTATTCAGCAATTGGTCCCAATTGCCTGGCATGGGCTGTGTTCCCGCGGCAAACACCCAGTCAAGATCCAATCTCATGTCCATATCAATGCCCTCGTGGTATTCTCGCTGCTCCCCTTGATGAACAGGAGATATGCTCTGAAAACTGCCTATGCTCTTCGACCCGGCCGGACTGTCGGTACGCGCTCGTTTCCGAGACGCCTGCTCGCTCTGCCGTAGGGTGCCGAGGCCGGACGGTAGCATGGCGTTACGTGACGGACATTGACTCAGCCGGCGAGAGCGCAACTCCCACTTACGTTGCAGCATGAGAAGAAAATCCCGAGACCGCTTGGCGCACTCCCAAGTGCCTGAAAGCTCCTCCAAAGCCCGGAAGCATACGCTCAAGTGTGTCGCCGTCTCTGTGGTCCTCTTCCGTCTGCGGCGGGATATAGATGCGAAGATGAGTATGATGGCTGCAGAGAAGATGATGGCCACGCCTTGGATATGAACTCGCTTGAGGGAGTATTGGCGTTCGTAAATCAGGATCAGCTTTGCCACTGAGGCTGCTGACTCGATGCACATTTGTTGCGCGTGCATGTAGCCGGGACCTTGAGGTGGTTGTGGTTGAATGTAGCTCGACGACATCCACGGCCTATGGGCATGTATCACGTTTTGATAGTATTGCATACTGGGCACAAAAAGGTGAGCGAGAACCGCATGACGACAGGAATCAACAATGTGGATTTGAACTCACTGTAACAGAAGAACATGAGGAAGGAATGTTCCCTCTGAGTCTTCTAGATCGACTTGTATCGTACGTGGCAGGTTCTGCTTCCAAGCAAATAATATCGAAACAATCTTCTCGTTGTTGGCCTGCAATATATCCCGCGGAATCCGAGAGTTGCCGTATCTACCAGGAGAGCATTTAGTTCCACTAAATCAGACAGAAACATTGCTATTCGGGCGATTCACTCACAGTGTGTGACCAAGAGGCGCCATGATTTCGCACAACTCTATGCGGTATAGACTGATGACCTCAGTGTAATCCTGGATGGGTACTGGGGCGTTGCCGTTGCTAAGGCGCGAAACGTAAGGAAGCCATTGCTCGATCCGCCCATCTGATGAGTCTTCTGTTGGTTTCCCAACTGTGATATCATCCATGCTGATACGAAAAGGCCGACCTCTGTAAAATCCGAGCGTCCTTGAAAATTTGTAGAGTCAGACCACAGCCCCAACAATGTTGGCAGCGGCGCCAGAAGCTTACTGATCCATTGTGTATGCGCTCCAGAATACAGCGCGACGAAGCTCTGCTTCAGCGGGTTTAAGAACACCCTTGTTTACGTACGGTGTCATATCCTTGTGTAATGCCAAATCAAACGCGAGCCGAATTGCCATTGCTAGATCGAGAGCTGTTAGTTCCTCTTGTCTTATAGTTCGCACATGTCACATGTGATAACCTGGGGTGACTATACCACTATACAACCAACCGCGAGAGTCCCTATTCGCGCCTATCTCATGGCTACTAAGAACAATCATTGCTTGTACCGTAGAGACGGAAGGCGAGTCTAGTTCGATCTCTAAAAGAGTCTTGGCTCTTGCGGCGAAGAAATCCGGAAGAGACTTTGGGAAGGTTATAAAGCTCGGGTGATATCGTGTTTCGAAGGTAGCCCCTAACGAACACCTGCAAAAGAATTAGCATTATCAAGCAACAAAAGAGTTGAGAGGTTGAAGCAATATTTGAACTAACATTGCATTTCTAAGTGCCTCGGAATAATATGGTGTGTCTTCCTCTCGCTCGTGCCAACTATGCTTCGCTTCGTCGTAGAGAGTCCTGTCGACTACATGCTGAAAGGGGTCCTGCCATGTGAAGTAAAGGTTGATCAGATGATCTTCGAGATCTTGCGGTACCTGTTTGCCGTAGCCCATGTTGTCGAGGTGTTCTTGGCCATCGTTGCGCACGGTTCGATCCACAGCCAAAGTATCGGCTCCCACAGGTAGTTCCATCAAGCTGAAGTTAGATGTTGGTCCGAAATAGGAGATTTTTCCATTGGGACCAATTTGGAGAGACCCTAGTCTATCAGATAACTGGTTGACTAGGTCCTCTTCCGTTGTGCCTGAGCCGGCATCGTCCTCTTCAGTGTCGCTCAAAGCAGCCTCTCCGGAGTACGTGCTCAACAGAGGATCGCTGGGGGTCTGGACGCTGGCGATGCCACCACCATTTGTGATGATGTTATCGGCATTTTCAGAAGGGCTCCATTCCCAGTCGGCAATCGCTCTCGTTGTTAAGTTCAACAAACCGTCTTGGACCGGTGGTGCGAGCCCGACTGTCGCGTCATTGCCTAAGTTGAAGGAAGACGGGTCGAAAGGTAGTGAAAAGCCTAGGGGAAGTTGATCTGGAGGTAGTATGATATTGTTAGATGGGACGCAGACTGCTGATGTTTGCGGCTCTAGGGACAAAGCTGGGCCAATCGGTGGTGTTTTGTCGCGTTCTATAGCCAATTGGGCCGTCGAAAGGCCTAGAGTGTTTAGTATCCGTGTCAGACTTTTGGCCTCTTCCGAAGGCATAGGCGGGAGTTGTAGCCCATTTTGATTGATAAACTGGCAAAGGTGGTCGACTCTACTCGACAGCAATTCGACTGCGACGCGCAGTGACAGTCTAGCGTTTGTAAGCCTTGACCAAAACGCTCAAAATCAAGAGACTGCAAAGAGAATCTAACTTGCGCTTGTCCTCTCCAGCTTGGTAACGGCACTCTCGGTGCTTAGTCCTGCAGTTGGAGCATGAAGGAGTTGCACCGTCACACTATTAACAATTTGTTACTAGGATGCCACAGGTTCTAGCCTGAAGCCATCGCCGTGATATCAAAGCTGGAGGATGGAAACTTGAGCACGAGGCTGGGGAAGGCAGCGCATACCTTGATCTTGCTTTCCCGACAGGAAATGCATGCCGTAGTGACATGCCTCCTCTTGGCGTCAGACTTCGATGATTGGGGCATACTGCCTTGCTCCTCTGGAATATGTGTTCCGGAATCTGTGTTGAAGGTGTGGAGGTTGATGAAGTTTGGCTGGGGTAAATTCGAGAGATGACGGGGCGGTGGACACTTCTTGGCCGCACCGAGGCCCACTAGCAGAAGGACGTTCTTTTACAGCATGAACCCGAGTGTGTTAGCTACCTGGCCCATGTGGCTTTGTAAGTTGCTTCGGCCGTGTTCGTACTGGTAGCGCTGACCGCGGGGCGCGTAGGCGCCAGGTCCAGATGTACAGGGGACTTGCTGGACGCTAAAGTGACTATGTTGTACCGAATGAATGTGCGCTAAAGTTCACTCCAAATGTGGTCAACAACACACCGGACGGTCGTGATACTATTCGATGAGCTTTTCATTGGGATAGACGAAGACTGTTAGATGTACTCCAATGCTTGGGTGCTTGTAGTGAAGATTATCAATCGTACCTGGGAGCAAAAGACAATTCTCACTAAAGTTTCGTTGCGAACATGGGCTCTGCGTAGGTATCCGAAGCATGGATCAAGAGCATCTCAAGCACACATTCGCAACCACAGACTACTGGCCACTTGGACATGAATCAAGGATCTACGACTTTAGGATTACACTTCGTGTATCTAAGTCGATGACCGAAACACGTAGTAACGCTACTCACCTAGGCAAAGCGCTATTGAGGCAGTACTAAGTCAGCTCGCACAATCCGGCATACCGAGTCGTCCATCCTCATTCTAATGAATCGTAGCAATAGAGTAACGACAGCTGGCCCGTGCTAAACCTTAATCTTATTCAAAGTATACGAAAGATGGCCGGTGTCTTGCCTCTAGACATGAAGTACTGGCGTGTCCGAAAGAGCCGACCCGCGGGACTCCCCGAGTCACTCCTCTTCAAATTTTCGACATGACGGGGATCTCGGTTTCTGAGACGGCTCCCCAGCGCAAGTATTGCCAGAAAATAGTCAACATAGAGCCGTTATGGTTCAGCTTCTTCTCCGATTGGCACCTTGTGAACTGAGATTGAATCTGGGGTTGCTATATGATGAACTGCTTGCTCTCATCGCGGCAAGGCGTTCGTGACAAGCCCTTGTTCTATGACCCAGAACCTTCTCGAGACGGCATGATGGAATAATTACCTTACTCTCAAAGCCCGACGACCATAGGTCAAGAGTCCCATTATCAAGCCTCCCAGTACGCGTATTGCACGTGCTCAAAGGGACCCAAACGCCACTGGCACGTTTGAGGCGTTAAGGGAGTTCGAGCACGTACTCTGATAGAAAGACTAATGAGCAAATTACTGAAAAAGAACGCCTTACTCGAAGAAGAAGTTGCATCCAGTCCAATGAAAGGCCTTTCTTCATCTTTAGATCTTTGCTAGTAGTGAAGCCACAACGTAGAGCAGCCTTGAATTCTCGGTACCGTGCCGAAATGATTCCAGACAAACTTAGCGATGAAATCTGATAACTCAAAATCTGGTCCGAGGAGATATCGTGCTGTTAATTAAAGTCAATTTCCTTAGTCAGAAATGTAGCGACACCCAAGTGAGTTTAGATTCGACGAGGGATCGGGCGGCACCAGATTTCCCCAAATCAAGTGCTTCATCCTTATGATCACTTCTCAAGGCGTTACTACTGGATTATTATGAGTAATGACATGATGAAAGCTTAGTCGGAATTATAGTCCGGAGAGGATCTAGAATCTGAGCCGCACTAAGATCTCATAGGACGTTCGGAAACTGGTTTCCGAAGTCCCCACCTACCTTGGCCCCAGAAGTCAGGTACACCCGGAGACAATTATCATGCAACAAAGTCCGATTTCTACGTTCGTCGCCGAATATCAACTCATAAGTCAAGATGTTTCCCCAGGCGATCAGCTGGAGGGGGAGAGATTCTGTGACGGCGAGCATCTCCGTATGGGGCCGGTTCTCGGCGGACCCATCCGGAGCTCAATCGGGCAATTCTGACCGGTAAAGGAGTGCCCGATTCCCAGCTTGACCTCGTCAGACAATGCCCTATTCGGACTCCTGCCAGTGTGCGAATCGAAGTGATGGAGAGGACTAGAAACCCGCGTTTCCGCATAGGCTGTGGTTGGATCATCTTTACTACGGACTTCCAACGTCAGAACTAAGTCTCGATTCTCTACCGAATGTGGAGAGCGCCAGCCTACTACACGGTCCTTTCAGCTTAAATACCCCGCGCTTCTCCCTTCACGAGCGGCAGAACATGAGGTAATGTTACAACATACCTTACTCTATAAGGTTCCATTATCTCTCCACTAACGCCTCAAATAAGTACTCCAAGATGGCTATCAAGAACGGACCAGCGAACGGCAGTCACTCTCCCAGTATGGGCTCCCCTCGCCTCTTCTCAAAATCGGAAACGACAGCAGTGGAACGATTTGCAACCACCTGCTCCCAACGAGCCTCTCCAGAGGATTACCCGCTCGCCGCATCCATCGAAAAGAACATACCGATCTACGACCTCCCTGAATATTCAACCTTGAGCGACCCAGAACGCACAGAGCTGCAAGACGAATGGTACCGCGTACTGATCTCTGGCCCAGGCGTCTTTGTCACAAAGGGCCTTTTCCGTGACAAAGCGCTCATTCAGTCAGCAAACGCGGCTTTCGCATCAATCATCGAGGACGAGAAGAAATCAGGAACCGCAAAAGGTGACCATTTTGCCAGCGCTGGCAAAAACGACCGCATCTGGAACTCGTTCAGCAAACACGGCCTCAAGGACCCGGCGTCCTTTGTAGACTACTATTCGAATCCATACCTCGGCCTCATCTCGAGCGCGTGGCTCGGACATGGCTACAGAATCACAGCGCAGGTTAACAACACCAAGCCCGGTGCCTCGCCGCAGGTCTGCCACCGCGACTACCATGTTGGCTTCCAGACGGCAGAAGCAGCCGCGCAGATCCCACGGGCGATGCAGATCGCCAGCCAGCTCTTGACGCTGCAGGGCGCCGTCGCCCACTCCGAGGTGCCTCTGGAAAGCGGTCCCACGCGGCTCCTGCCGTTCAGCCAGACGTTTGAAGCCGGCTACGTCTCGTATCGTCGCCCCGAGTTTAACGACTACTTTTTGAACAATTACGTCGCTTTGCCGCTCGAGGTGGGAGATGGGCTCTTCTTCAACCCGGCGCTCTTCCACGCGGCTGGCAAGAACGAGTCGAGCGATGTGTACAGAATGGCGAATTTGTTGCAGATCAGCAGCCCCTTTGGAAAGCCGATGGAGTCCGTGGATGCCATACCACTAGTGGAAAAGAGCTGGGATCACTTGCTCAAGCTATACGAAAACGAAGGGCTGAGTGCCAGGGTCAAGTCTTTCATCGCGGCCGTGGCAGAGGGATATCCGTTCCCTACGAACTTGGACAAGAACCCACCAAGGAATGAGGGTATGGCGCCAGAATCAGAGCAGGACAATGTCATACAGAGTTTGGCCGAAAAGCGAAGCAGAACCGAAGCGGTAGAAGCGCTGCGGGCATTTGTCAAGAGATCGTCAGCATAAGCATATACGCATACCTTGCCTGTAGGACAAGCATCTACTCAAGGTATTTATTGCAAGTTTTTGACATGCCCATTGCCAAGACCAAGTGAACCATGTGTACATAGATGGATTCAAGTCTAGATATAAGTTCACTGCTGGCTTTTCCCTCCTAGGAATAATCTCATCAGTGATGATAGACTCTTGAGTATTGCCTATTTGCTCAACTCCAGCGCCTATCGCATCTACGTTGATCGACAACCCCCACATCTACGTTGGATCGAGATTGCTTATGCACGTCAGCGAAAGCGCATACGGCCTGTTCGAAGCACAATGAAGACAAGCGCGTAGGGATACATGTGGTAACTAAGATCGATTGGCACCGGTTGATGCCGGCGCCATGGTTTGTCAGCCTTGAAACTTGCGTCCAAAATAGACACGACTTTTAGCTGTCCTCCCCACGTTTTCCTGGACCGTTGCCGCTTTGCCGATGACAAAATTCTATAGCAATCGTTGTTCCTGGTATTTGTCTCTCTGATTAAGCTCTATTCTAAATAGCTTTGAGATGTGACGTTGCTTCCTGTTACTTCTTGGTCTGCTGCGACTTTCGTGTTCCAGCTTTGTCCACGTAGGCTCCATGTCCAGTCCACGCGCCATGCGTGTCTTTCGTTAAACGGGATTTTGTGGGATTCAAAATACCATCATCAATTGGACCACCCCGAACACCGATCAACCAGTCGGAACCGGGCCCTGAACAGCCATCGGTCCCATTCCCCAGCTGTCGTCGGGCAACTAGCGTCGACGGACACGGGGAAGAGCAACGCTGAGAGTGACATCACATGTGAGACCTCCATTCCTTCTACTACCGATACGAGGTTTTGCGCACGGGGAAGTTGGGGGGCCACACAGGCACACACTGACCGCTTAAATGCTTCTTACGGGATCTGCACCGTTGAGTGGTGATCTTCCATGCCCGCGCCTCTCGTGGCGTGCCAATGTCACGATGTTTGATAGCTTTCCAACGTTCCTAGGGAGAAGCTTTCTTGTATTTATTGAGACACGAGTCCCCACCTCTTTGCAGGGTCTGAATCAGGCCCTCACCGCGCAAACGATTCACCATAACGTAGCTAGAAATACCATCATCTCCCCGCAAGCATCTCCAAATCCTGTCACACATTCCACAAGTTTGGGTGTCCCATCAAAAAGACAAACCTTCCCATAACGACTTCGAGCCAGATTTCTCATCACAAAGAAAGAAAGAAAGTGTCATCTTCTGACCCGCATCTCATCAAACTTTCAAGCACCCCAAGATGTATGTCAGCAAATTCATCACCGCCTTCTCTGCTCTCATCGCCGGTGCCTCTGCCGCAACCCTTCCCCTCCGATGGACCGGCATCTCAAATAACGCCGCGACCGCCGAGCGTCGACAGACCGACGGCAGCGCCACTTATCCCACGACCCCAGGAAATATCACCTGGGCCGCACAAAACTACATTTGGGGCTGCTCACCAGGTGGCTGCAGTGCCCGCTTCAACGTTAGCGCTCCAGCGGGCTACAGCGCCGGCGCGCCCGGCTTCAACGTTGTCTGCAGCCCCATCTACATCCAGCAGGGCTGGGTCCCCTGCCTGAACCCGGACAACAGCCCCCTCGGCGGGGATTCGCAAGTCTTTACGATTTGGACGGCCGGCGCGGACCGTGAGCGCATGTACCTTGGCGTCGAGCACATTTACAAGCGCCAGGAAGATGGGCTCACCTGGAATGCCACTGCCGGAACCGATATCCTGCCTGTCCAGAACATGAGCATCACGTTCCCTGTCAACACTGTTGTAGTTCTTGAGTCTTGAGTAGTTGCAAATTCGCAGCAATGGCCAGTAAGGTCTTCAACTTGCACGGGCATGCATTCAGCAAGGAGTTCGGTTTATGGACATTTCATTCATGTAATTATTTGATGTACATCTTGATGCTTAATTCTTCGTTTGAGCACCGCATCTCTGCCTATGAGGCTATCTCGCAGATAAGGGTCCCAGAATCGTCCTACCGGTTTAAGCCACCCTCACCCACTGTATCATCTACCACGGCTTCTCGTTAATCGGAGCTAGAGGAGTCTGGCACCTTGCCGCCAGAGCGGCTTTTGCCTCGTCACTGTCGATGCTCACACAGGGAGTGTCGATACCTCCATCTACGCCATCGCAGATGATAACAGGTTCCCCACCACAAGGCGACGTGACGTTGAAGTTCTTGAACTTGATGTTGTGGCATACGGCGTCGGGGTTCGTGGAGCACGTTAGCTTTGCGACTGCGTTGCCGTAGATGCCGCTGGTGTAGCCGGTGAAATTCTCGAAGAGAACGTTGGAGACATTCATGCCGGACGGGTATTGCTCGCAGGTAGTTTCGTTGATCTGCCGGAAGTCAGTCAGCTGGACCAAAGGTCTTTCCCATACCACGATCGTTGGAAACCCACGTTGAAGTAGCATGAGTCAAGAATGACTCCGTAGTCCATCCGAGCAACCCAGAAGTTCCTTCAATCATTGTCAGATATGCGTGGCCAAGAATGTCGAGACGGAGGAATACTCACTTGTAGGTGATGTTATCGACGAAACCGTATCCCACGTTAGGGCCGGCCCAGGTCTTGATGCGGGCACCAGAGTACTAATGCCTCGTTAGAAGAAGTTAAAACCAGAATCGTTGGATCAGACTCACATCTCCGTTCAACATCCAAACGTTCTCAATGTGAACGTCCTTGACGTATGACATTTCCCCTGCGTATTGTCCCAAGGAACCGATTGACTGAGTCAAGTTAGCAAGATTACAGCATGAGGAAGGCCGTGCAAGTATATACCTGGCCGTGGGTACCTATAATGATGTTAGCCTGCTGTTGATATACAACCAGGGGTTATACGGCATACCGTTGCAGTACATGGTGTTCACGTAAAGATTGGTGTTGTTGGACTTCGGGGAAAAGCAGTCGTCGTCAATGTTAACCCAGACACGCTCAATCTTTACATCCTGAACATCCAAAGAGTCGAAGAAGTCAGTGTTCTTGGGGATGATGCTGCCGTTGTTGGTGATAGCAGTGGCAATGACATCTCTGTACTCAATGTTGCTCGCTGGCACATAGGTGATTAGCCCGAATCTTACGGCCTGGGGAAAGCAGACAGCGGCTGCCGTGAGTCTGACTTACATCCGACGACGAAGTTGGTCCAACAGGGAGAGTCCTTCATGTGGATGCCCTCAACTTCCAGATTCGTGGTGTTTTCTACATAGAATAGGATGGGCCGGAGGTATTTGTTGTCGGGGTTCTGGGCTGTTAGTTGCTTGTCGTTCATGGAAGCGGACCATGGTGTGTCATACCAGAATCCTGAAGGTGATCAGCATGATATCCTCAAGACAGTCTGAAGAGTCAATACTTACGATCCGATGCCAGAGTTAAACTCGTTCCACCAGCGTTGGCTATGCAGAGTGTTAGACATGAGCGAAAGCTTCGGCTGTTGGTCTACGAACCCTTGTCCGTTGATGACTCCATCACCGTAGATCTTGATGTCCTTGCCACCCCATTTCCCTACATAAGACTATGAGCAGAGCCTCTAAGTATGCACATTACCGGGCTTTCTTACAGAACATGATCGATTTCTGTCATGTCGCATCAGCAGGGGTTCATGGCTGCATGGGATCGGACCTGGGACTTACTTGGAAGGGATGCGTGAACGCATTTGTCTGAAGTTAAGTGTCAGCAACGCCGCGTCTCTTCTGTTTCTGCGGGTGGCTTTGTTCGTATAACGTACTTGCCAGTATTTCACATCGTCGGTGAACTAGACCACTGTGTCAGATCATCTTCGACAACCTTTGCGATGCTAGATCTCACCTTGATCTCGCCCTCCAGCCGAACATGAATGTCATTGAGAAAAGTCAAGTCGAGGGCTTTTGCGATCACAAACGTTTGGTTTTTGGGTAGATACAAGGTCCCACCATTGTTGGCCTCTAGAAGACCCTTCTTGAACTCCTCAGACACATCGTCCGTGGCGTTCCGGGAAGCACGGATCGTGAAGGTCTTGCGTCCACACCCTTGGGATGGGGGCGTGTAAGGATGCTTGTCACGGAACTCTTCCAGAGATCTGGGTACACCCGCCGGCAGTTCGATCCCGTAGGAAGAGACCACGCCGGCTACGGCTCCGAGCAGGGCCAGTGATCGTGAGAAACGCATGATGAAGAGAAAGGGGAAAAGCCAGAGGATGGATGCGATGCAACGATACTAGTCCGATCTCACCTTCATGTGAGATGCTCCGAAGACAGGAAATGGAGGGCAGGCTGCACCATCTTTAAGGCTTATAAGCGATCAGCAAACTTGCGCCCGGGAGGACGTAGTCCAAGTGGGGACAACGAAGGTATTCCCACTTCTCTGGTCTTCTCTTCAAAGTTCGGGCGAGTATCACATCGGACGGAGTGACGGAGCACTCCCCCTGGACACGGAAAAGTCAAATAGACTCATTGGACACTGCAGGCCTAAAATGACCAGGCACGGCAACTTTAATCGTAGTCGAACTCGGAAATAAAGATTACCTAGGGGATGAGGAACCCCGCGCGCGCATCGGAAAAGAGTCGAACAAAAACCCCCGGCCTTCGAACGCACTTCATAAAGTATTAACCGCGAAGCGGTCTGGCATTTAAGATGGTGGAAGATCGCGTGGGGAAGCGTTGGGGGGTGAGTCTTGGGATCTTGAGGGATGTGCGGGGGAGACCCTAGGAAATGTTGTAGTGCAGGGCTCGGCACAGGCCTATTGGTGGGAAATTCCTTGGCCTAGCCAGCGACCTCGGAAAAAGGCACCGCGCCGTTGGTAGCTAAGCAGTCTGATATTGAGCGGTCATCGGCGCTGGGAGTTGAACCGGCCGGAGATCCATCTCGTTGGTACCGAGGTGAACGGATGCGGAGGGGGCGGTGATGCTACGGAGGTAAGAATTACGCTGACGCTTGCTGGGGCTTGGATCACATGCATACTGTGTACAGGAAAGCAGCCGCAATACATTTATGCTAGAGTACAAAATCTTGTAAAATACACAGGTGTGTGATATTGCTGAGATAGTTCAGGGCTATTTGCGGTCTAACGTGTTGAAGAAAACGTGGGAGAAGACAATTCTTGTCACAACGATTGGGGCAGAACTTGCGCTTTGATTCATTCAACAGTAGTGTTCATACTTCATCAATCTGGCAGAGCCTGTCCCGAACGCTGCTTGGTGCACTCTATTCCAATGTTTTCCAGCATTGTGGATGTTATCCACATTCCCTACGATTTCTCATACGCCTCATAGACACCTTTTGCCGGCCTGGGGCAGAGTCTACTTCTAGTAGGACGGCCCCAGGAGCGCTGCAAATGTGATCGCCATCTCGGATCGTTATCCGTCGTCCCTTTCCCAAGATTCCTCCAGCTCGTCAATATTACCATGCGAGCTTTGGATGGTAGATTGGTCCAGAATTCGAAGGAGTAGTCCATCCAGCAACGCTCACAGCTGAATATCTTCCCGTTGTTTTCGGCAACATCTCTTGGAGGCTTCTGCCCATATTCCCAAATACTGCCTTGCTCTGTCGTATTTGTGGTGGACCCAAGTGAAACATCATGACAGCTGCCGGTATTCAAAACCTCTTTTAGGTCACCGGCTGTCCAAGTTCGGTGATTATGAGGGCAACACCCGCTGAGGTACCAGAACCTATCGTCCTTTCCCAGGAACTTTCCCCTAGGTTTGGTATGGCGCGTACCTCTTTGCAACTGAACGATGTCCCGTGTCTTGAGGTACAGAGAACCGTTGATGATTCGGCACTCGGTCCGCCGTTGTATCCAGAAGTTCGGAATTCTATAGAACTCCTTGGATACAGGCAATGTTTTCGCAACGGACCCTGACGGCCGCAGGCGCTGGGATCTCAGAAGCCCTGCAACCATGTTAAATCGTAGTTTCCACGGCAAAAAATTTGACCACATCTTGGCACCGATGTAGAGGTGATCCTCGGGAAGTGAAACTCTGGGAACAGCGCACGGTCGTGGGTTGGACGAGTGAGACTCAACGACATCACAATGGTGTCCTGGCTTCGGCGGGACGGATGATGAGGGCGAGTGGAAGGTTCCACAGTCTTTGCATGCGACAAAAAGAGGTTTCGCATACACGCCGTCACATTCGAGTAGTTGTAAAAGTCGATGTTGAGCCTCCTTGTCCAGAGTCATGGGCCGATGTCCGACTTTGTTTCGTATCTTATGATTGAGGAGCGGAAGTATCGCCTGGGATTCAACTGGGAGAAGCCTCTGGATGTGTAACAAAATTTCGGCAGGTAAGATGTCCAAGAAACTCATTGCGGGAGGTCAGGCTGTGCAACTGGGTACCTGTTGAATTGGAAAGAAAGGAGAAGAAGATGTAAAGACCAAGCAAGAGTGTCGATAATATTTCAGAGACGGCATGAAATATTGTTTGTTCTGCGGTTGGAGTCGGGTGAGGTTATACTCAGACGTTATTGGGTGCCTAGACAGACGTTGGGCGCGGAGCTAGGGTCTATGACAAGTTGTCCAAATGGGTCTAACATTTTGAGTCATTCTCGCCACTTCCAAATTTCGGTGGTCATCCACCACATCATGAGTACCTGCTTAGTAGTGTAACTAGCACTTCAATCCTAAAATATGACCAGCAGTCGGAATAAATTGTCGCGTTACTGCCCGCGTACGTGCGCTTCATGTTGATTGCCGACTTCTCAGTCATCGGCGGCATCGGTAGTACGGCGATTATTAGGGTACGTCGTGTCATGACCGTTGGTTCACAACAAGTTTCGATAAGCTTGCCCTACCGTTGGCACAACCACCGCACCTAG